CCTGGGCAATAGACTACTATAATTTTCTGGGTTAGCCCATCCAACAGCCTCTGGTTGCTCTCTCATCGCTATGATTACTGGCTTTGTTTCCTTGGAGGTCCTTCCTTGTCCACTAGCCTCCTTGACTGCATCTGAATTGGGCATTGGGGAACCTGCCCTTCTTGGGGCCGCAAAACTTTCACATACTGCTTTTTGCTAGCGCAAGTTTGGGTACTTAAGTTTTCATTTTGCTCAGACAGTCAGGCTTTGGCAGGCCAGGTTTATGGTTTCTCTAGTAAAGAATTTCCTCATAAACTTAGTAGGCTTCCAGTCTTCCTTCTGGTCAGTTCCAGTGTGAGAATTGTACCCAAAGTACTCATCTAGACATTATATACATATTTAAATCTGAAGATCTGGTTTTAATTATTAGCTTCTATGCTCTGCATAGCTTTTCTTCAACCTACTAGGGGTATTTACGGGTAAATTGTGTCCCCCCCAAAAGATATGCTTGATTCTTAACCCCCAGTACCTCAGAGTGTAACCTTATGTGGAGAGAGGGTCTTTCTAGAGGTAATCAAGTTAAAATGAGGTCATCAGAGTGAGCCTTAACCCAATAGGACTGGTGTCCTTATAAAAGGGGGAAATGTGGACACAGACATGCACACATGCAGACTGCCCTGTGAAGATGAAGGCAGACATCAAGGTGACACATTCATAAGTCAAAGAAGGCCAAAGGTTGCCAACAAACCACCAGAAGCTAGTGGAGAGGCATGGAACAGATTCTCCATCACAGCTCTCAGAAGAAACCAACCCTGATGACACCTTGATCTCAAACTTCTAGCCTCTAAAACTGTATGACAATAAATTTCTGTTGTTTAAGCCAATCAGTTCGTGGAACTTTGTTACAGCAGCACTAGCCAACTAATTCAGATGGCTACCATATTGCCATAAAATAAGGGTCTTGAGTGGTAGGGCAACACTCTTAATCTGATCTATACTGCTGGGCTAATTCTCATTGTCTAGCCCAGAATGCTTTGGAGAGGTGCTTGTAAATAGCTGGCACCACAGTGTTCCTTCCAAGCAACTCATTATTGCCTCCGTGTGGAGGTACAGACACAATAGAGTTCTTCAACACTGTGAGGTACCAAATTATTAGGCTCACAAATATTTTAGATTCCCTCCCACAGGTTGAGATTCTCTGCTACAGCTTTAGATTCTCTCTCTTTTCCTTAGCAGAAACATATTTCTTTCATTTCTCTTTGTAGACTTGCTAGATCTACATATAATTCATCTTTCTCTTGTAAAACTTTGCTGAAAATAGCAGAAGCAACCAACCTACACCATTTTGAATTTTTCCAATGATTTAACCTACAATACAGGCTTGATAAGCAGGTCATCTCCTTTCCAAGGTACTTTACGCAATCATTTATCAAATATTTTGCCACTGAAAGACAAAGGTCTCCAGTTTCCTGTCCTCATCATCTGCTGCTTGGACTGCTAAACCAAGAAAACGTATATTAATATCCTTATGGCCACACCCCATGTCTACATTCCAAGTTTTTTATTGGTCAGAGTTCATTTGCAGAGAACAGAATCCATTTTAGCTAGTTTAATCAGAAAGAGATTTAGTACAGATGTGGTTATGGCTTAGTGAATTAGTTAGAGGGCTGAAAAAACAATCAAGGAATCCTTTGAGAACAGTACAACAGAGTGGGGCCACTAAGGCAGATATTCCTATAGCTTTTGGGAAACCACCAAGATCATAAAGCAATCTTAAACTGGGGCAGGGGATTGGGAAATAAGCCTGTGGTAAAACTGCAGAAGCAGTAAAGGAGTGACTTCTACCCTGCAAATTTCTCACGAGTACATCTGAGTAGCAGGATCCAAGTCAATTCAGAGCTCTAGGTATCAGAGTGACTAGGAAATGTCTGTTGTTTTGGACTGTGATGTACTCAGCTAAAGATTAAGGGCTGCATTTCTGTGAGAGAAAAGGGAGAAGGAGATAAAGAACAGCAAGTAGATTGTGAAATGTAAATGTTTCAGGATTTCTTTCTGACACGGAGCAGGCCCTTAATTATTGACAAATTTATGGAAACATAACACAAGTTCCCTCTTTAAGATAGAAAATGTGAAATCAGAAACATGAGATCAGGTTTGTAAAAGGCAAACTATGTCACAATCACTTTGCATTTTTGCTTATTCAAGTGCAACATAGTGTTCTCTGAGCTGGAACATTGACCAACGTAACCCTCTGGTTAACAAAGTTCATTCTCTGGAGAGTAAGTGACCTTATAAGTCAAAGGTCCTGGTCCAATTGAAGTCTCTTGGCTTTGTTCTTTCTCATGAAGTTTCACCTCCCCATGTCTTCTGATACCCATGATCCAAGGAAAAAAAGGCTCTCAGATATGTATCGAGCCTGATTTTATCTCTTCAAAAATTTAAATCTTAAACCTAGATTTGTGAAATATGTTTTAGAGCAGAGGTCAGCAAAGTTTTTCTATAAAGAAAAACTTTTTAGTTTTTCAGGCCATACGGTGTCTGTTGCAGTTTCTCAATCATGACATCGTAGTGTGAAAGCAATCATAAACAGCATATGGATTAATGAAGGTGCCTATGTGCCAACAAAATTTATTTACAAAAAAGGTGGAGGACCTAAATTTGGCACACAGGCTGTCATTTGCCGACCCTTCTTTTAGGTAATTGCATGAAATAAATTTTAAAATTAAAAAAAAAAAACTTCACCAGAGATCACTGCAGATGTGCACTCTAGGTGGCCCCTTCCCTTCTCCCTGAGTGTAGAGTCCTTTTGTTCATACACTACAAATCCTCAACCTAACTTCTGATGTTTGAGATAGCACATCTCTCTGCTTGGTTTCACTTTATGGTCATGTGTCAATGTTCTTCTTACTATTTGTGAAACTAAACACAAGACAAAATTTCTTTAGCTTCAATAACCATCTTCAAAATGGAGATAGTAAGTTGCTACCAACCGTACTCAACACCCTCAAGCAACCTATGTGTTTTTCTGTCAGCCTCAACTGTCGGCTAGTCACCACAGGGTCCTGACATCCCTTAGATACCGTGAGTACCTGTGAGCTAGCACGGCCTCCCACACCCAGACGGAAACTCTATTGCTGTCCTGTCCAGACAGGGTCGGCTTTTGAACTGAAAAGGAGAATTGCATAGGGATTAAGATCACAGGGTTCACATTTCACCTCTGCCACTCATTAGCCATTTGACCGTAGGATAATTACCTAACCTTTATATGCTTCAATTTATGCAAGGACATGATAACACCTACTTAGAGCAGTGCCTAGACTATATCAAACATTCTGTAGATGCTGTCTACAAGTGAGAATTTGGTATTAGCTATTTATATAGTTTATGATGATTATAATCTTGTTAACAGGCCTTCATTTTCATCTGAATATTTTGTTTTTTAATTACCCTAACTTCTTTCTGACCAGGAAAAACATAGCAACAGATGAACACAAAGCAAAGAAACAAAAACCTCCCTACCGGCATCAGTGTGAATAACCTTATGCAGCACCCCCTTCTAAAAAAAAAAAACTCCGCCTTAATTTGTTTTAAACATGTTCTACCAAGTTCTGTGAGAGAATACGCAGAACTGCTGAACAATGCACGCTCAGCTGAAAGCTAACAACGAGAGATACTAATGTTCTACTTTTCCGAAATGGTTATGAGGACTTGTTCCTCTCTACCAGTGAACTGTATAAAAGTCCCTGGCAAGGATTAGGCCTTTCATTTCTGGTCCCCACGGCTGTACACAGGTGCCTGACAGAGAGCTGTGAAACATATAACAAGTTTTATGGGAGTTAAGAGTCCCACTTTTAGCCTCCAGCAGACCTGGACCAAATTCCAGTTCAGCTACTCAGAAATTAAGTAATCTGCCTTAGGATCTCTTCCTGGGGCTTCATTCACTTGCTAGTTATTATTGCCCAATTATTGTGGTCCTTGTTTGAGTGTGTGTGTATATATATAATATATATATGATATATATAATTATATATACAATATATATAATATATATATGGATTCTATAATCTCTCTATATATTATATATGGATATATATAATCCATACATATATGGATAACACTTTGAGATGGTTGTAGAAAAGTGCTTTGTATAAAGTTTTACATACTTTATATCTCATTGAATCCACTTAGCCCCTCAAGGGAGGTGTGTTTCACAGATGATTACATGTGAGATGACAATGGAAAAGTAATGACCAAATTATTTTTCCTTTTATATATAAAGAATGAAGCAAGATTTTAAAAATCTGCCAATAATGACTAACAAGTGGTATTTGGTGATTCTTTTAGTGACTGCAACTTAAAAACTTATGAAGTATCATTTATTCTCATTACAAGTCTATCAAAAATGACTAATGGTGCAGCATTTCATTCCTTCCTACTCTTGGTTCTCAAACTACATATCCTAGTAAATAGAATTTGCAAACACCTGATCTTTAGTATTCAGATTTGCCAAGCATCCTTCAGATGGATGCCTTCACAGCCACTGGAAGAAATGTTACTCATCTTCAAATAGATAAAAAGCAGAACATTTTGTAAGGCTGCTAAAGCCACCTGCCACACCCCTCCTATTGTCTCCTTTCAAGGTTGTCCTCTGAACTCCCTTATCTGAGGACAAACGCTGGACGACACTCTTGCAGGGGCTTTGTTTATATGATTTTTCATACAGCACTCTTCATCCTCAGTCAGGGGAGGCTGGAGGATGAAAAGGACCAGTCAACCTCGGCACGGGCTCATTTTCTTTTCTTAACTGACTTTATTTTTGGCCCTGAGGACGGGTAGTGCAGCTATACGATACTAGATCTTCACCGCGGAGGAGAATGTATGCCAGCCTTCTCTCTCACTGTCATCATTCCCTCCTTTGTGTTCTATTTCTCCCAGCTGGATTTACTATCTGCCAAAATTCTTTCACAATTACTTGACCGCGGGACGCCCCGCCCGAGCCAAACCCACAGGCAACCCCATACCTGAGGGGTACCTCGCTCCGGCTCCTGCCAGTCCACATCCACGCAGAATCATTCCATTTCCCAGCCACCAATCAGCGCTCCGCACGTTGCCGCGCCAGCCAATCCAAGCAAACTCCCGTTCCTCCTCCTGCTAACTTCTACCACTACCTTCTCGGGGCATCCGGGTTCGAGACGGGGGCGTGGCTGGGGCGGGGGCAGCCCCCCCCCCCCCCCCCCCCCCCCCCCCGAAGAGCTTAGTGACTTCCAATTGGCTGCGAGCGGCAGTGGCTTGACGTCCATTGGCTGCTGCCGCCTGCGGCCTCGGCGGCTTAGAGGCTGAGAGCTCTCTAACTTGTCAGTGTCGCGGAAAGCCGGGAGTCTAGTGCCGGACGGCGAGCCTCAGCTCCGTACTCTCCTTGCGACTCCTCAGGTAGCCGGGGGTGGAAGCACGGTAGTGAGGCGACCTGGAGGGAGGGCGACAGGGACGTTTGGGGCCGGCCTGGTGCGTTTTCCCGGAGCTGTGCCCGGCAGCGGGGTGAGGGAGGCTGCCGTGGAGGTCGGGGATGGCGGACGCTGGCGTCTGGGCGGGTGTGGACCTCACAGGTGAGAGAGAAAACTGGGGCGAGGGGAGGGGAGTGGAAGGGGCGAGCTGGAAGGGTCTCGGGGCTTGCACCTCGGCTCTCTGCACCGCTCACCAATTTGCGGACTTGCACTCTGCTTAGGCTCAGTTACGTGGGAAGGGGTGGTAAAAACCTCGCTTCTAGGGCTTTGGTGAAGATTCACTGAGATCGCGGTCTGTGAAGGGCACAGTACTTTCCGGTTCTTAGGAGATGCCCAGACGACGTAAGGTCCGTCTTAGGCCAAGCTTCGACGGAGATGATGTCGATAAGAGAACGTTTTCTGAGGGCTTACTATTTTCCAAGTTCTGTACTAAATGTATTAACTCGTGTAATTCCTCAATAAATTAGTGTTACTGTTATCCCTAATTGCCAATCAAGGAAGATTACTTGAGATTTTTTTTTTGGTTCAGGAGCCAGGGAAAAATATGACAAATTCAATGTGATGTCAGATTTTTAATGTAAAGGCTTTTCCAGCCTGTGATGAGCTTGCAGCTTTTTACAAAACAGATCTGTAGACTCTGAAGGCGGAAGCCCTGGGTTGAAATTCTGGTTCCATCAGTTATTAGCTGTGATCTTGTGACTTACTCTCCTTGTTGCTACTCTCCCCTCCTGTAAAATAGGGATAATAATAATATCAGCTCTTAAGGTTGTTTATGAGAATTAAATGAAATAATACAATTTAAAGTGGCCCGAAAGACTGATCACATAGTAAATGATCAATAAATGTTAGCTATTATTATTAACAAAGAATTAGAGCCTTAGGACCTTGAACTTTAACTTGGACTCAAAGCTGTGATATCATTAGAATTTAATATTGCCTTAAGTGTTGTAAAAAGTCTCAACATTGTTGTAAAGCTTGTCCTAAAATAAGCTGAAGTGAGCACTGAAACTGAGGAGCATTAGTCACATTGCAGAAGTAGCTTCATGTTGGGTTTCTGCTATTGCCAGTCTCAAAAAACGAGAAACTACTGTACTTGACTGAGTTGGAAAAACTAAATTACCAATTCAAGATTGATTGGAAATCAAGCATATGCTGAAATTTTTATGTTAGGTAAAAATATAATTTAATTTCAAGGCCTTGGTTTGCACATCTTGGGGAAAATCTATGACATGTTAAATTGAAGCTATTCACATAAATGAAACTCATATCAATTGGTTAATGGAAGGTTAAACAATTCTGATATGAGCTTCTTTAACAAGTGAATTCTGACTTACTCATACTACGTAAATACAATGAATTTTTATGGCATTCACTTTTTATTAGAGGTTAAAATGTTTATTATGTTCCGTATTTAAAATAGAACCTATGGCCATTTCACTGTGTCATATATTTGACAAAAATTGGAGTTTTATTGGTTAAAGAGTATGGTCCTGATAGATGGCCTCAAGAAAATTTTTACCTTGGGAAGGCTAGCTTCTCTATGATGGCAGCCACTGTCTCATTAGTGGTTACTTCAAAAACGTGGACATAGAAAACATGAACAAAAAAGTTAGTTTAAGTGAGGAAAAAATGATGGTGGACATTACTCAGGATTTGGCCATAGACCTGTCAAGAGTATCTACTGTTTCATGCGGAGCTGTTAGATTCTGATATGGTTAAGTGGTACCTGCTCTCTCTGACACATAAGTGATGGAGTTGGAGAGTTTCCTGTTATAAGGTCATAAAGTCAAGAAAGGAAATAAAAGAATTAGAGGGAGTTCAGAATGGATTTAAAGCGTTTTCCTGACATTCTCCGAGGATGATTGCAGTAGAGGATATTGTATACTTTCCTCAATTAATGTAAATGCCCTGTTATATTAGGAGAGTGCCAAGACCTTGATAACCCCAATACTGCCTCCCCTGCCTCCCACCCCATTCTGGAATATATTTCAGGAGATGTTCTGTCATACTAGCCCACATACAGATATCAGTTTAGACAGTAACCATCATTCCCTTTTGGACGTAATCTTGATGGAAAAAATCCATGCAAGAATTAATTGCCTGGTTAAATAAATACTTCATGGAGCTAAAAGAGGTCTTTCCGAGTTTATAGTTACTTTGTTCTCTTACTTTCCCGCCTCCTCTTCCACCGCTCCTAAAGAGGCTCATTAATAGGATTTTTTTTTTTTAATTTACTAAACTCCAAGCTCACAACCAAGGGTTTTTCTTTCTTTCTTTCTTTTTTCTTTTTCTTTTTTTTGGTGAGGAAGATTGGCCCTCAGCTAGCATCTGTTGCCAATTTTCCCTTTTTTTTTTCTTCTCCCCAAAGCCCCAGTACATAGTTCTATATCCTAGTTGTAAGTCATTCTAATTCTTCTATGTAGGATGCCTCCACAGCATGGCTTGATGAGAGATATGTAGGTCCATGCCCAGGATCCAAACCAGGGAACCCGCGGCCACTGAAGCAGAACCCATGAACTAAACCACTTGGCCACGGGGCCAACCCCCTAATAGGAATTTTTTTTTTTTTTTTTTTTTTTTTAAAGATTTTATTATTTCCTTTTTCTCCCCAAAGCCCCCCGGTACATAGTTGTATATTCTTCGTTGTGGGTTCCTCTAGTTGTGGCATGTGGGACGCTGCCTCAGCGTGGTCTGATGAGCAGTGCCATGTCCGCGCCCAGGATTCGAACCAACGAAACACTGGGCCGCCTGCAGCGGAGCGCGCGAACTTAACCACTCGGCCACGGGGCCAGCCCCCCTAATAGGAATTTTTAATGTTTTAGTTTTTGTTGTTGTTGCTGCAGGTCAAAGTTTATTTAAAGGGTGGAATAAGTCAACTTTGAGAATAAAAACTGGATTACATCCATTTCTACTGTCCTAGGACCTGATATATACCAGATGCTTGGTCAATAAAATAGTAGCTTCCTTGAGAAATTGTTGTTTCATTATGGTGATGGAAGTTTAGTCATTCAGAAGCTCAAGGATGATTGGTCTAAGTGGACGCGGCTTGGATATCTTGAGGTCTTCCATAAGTGAGATGAGTAGCTCACTGTCCACAGATTTTTCCGTTTTTTATTCACTGGGTTGCTACTGCATGCTAGACATGAGGAGTATAACATTGAACAAGTCACATTTCCTGCCCCCAAAGATTTTAGAGTTAAATGGGAGAAGATGAGAACAGAATAATGACAGTACAGAGTTGCTGTGAGAAAACACTGGAGAAGACGCTAACCTCGTCTTTAGGGGAGTCCGGGAAAGAAGAGTAGAAATTAGGCACTGAAGCTCAGCCAGACCCTAGCAGGACCCATAAGCCATATTAAGGAGTTTGGATTATGCTAATCAGGAGGAGTGAATGATTACTCAGGTAAGCACCTTAAAGATTCAGATTCTCATCTTTATAGGTAGTTTTTATTGCTTGCTTTTTGTGTGCTGTATTTGCACAAAGATAATGTCTATGACAATCATTGTTTTCCATTTCATCTTTGATTTCTATCAAAGAGTTTTGAAAAAAATACTCTTATCTCCCAACCACAGGAACCTGGGAGGTGACCTTTGGGTTTAAAGAATATTGTTTAATCATAATGATCCCAGTAATACATAAATTTAAATTTCCTTTGCAAGTCCTCTCTAGGAACTTGTGCTTGTTTACAACATACCCTTGAATGTGGTCATTGAACTGGCTATCAAATTGGCAGTGTCTTGAGTGGAAATGGGATAAATTCCTCACTGGCAGGCTTTTTGAAAGAGCTCGTCCACTTTTAGTTGTTGGGTAGGAGCTATACTTACACATTTTGCTTCACTTACGTAGATCCTAAATTCTATATTCTTGAATTTTCTATATATACTTTCCCATGTTCCTGAAGGGATATTATACCCCAAAATAGGCCATTTTGGAATAAGGATTATTTTGAGCTGAAGTCAGTTAATAAGGAGCAATGAAGAAAGAGCTATTTTCCCTCCCACTATCTGCATAAAAGTAGGACATAACTTTCCCTTTGTGAAGGTCTTCCCTCTTCCCTCTCCTATACCAGAAGAAGAACAACTCTTATCACTGGAGACTGAAAATTGGCACCAAGATGGTTTGCACAAGCAAACTTTACTAAAATAACCCTTATCTTCTATTAGTTTCCTCCCATACATTTACCTTCCCATAATTTACCATCCCTAGAAGCCCAAATCCTGTTTCCTTTGTCTTGTCACTTCTCCGCAGTTTATCACCCTTTGTTAAAATGGTGTATATGCCCCTGGGTCTCACTGCTTCTTTGAGTCTTGGCTTCTTTTCTAAGAAGGCCTTTGTGCATGTAAAAATTAAAATAATAGCATCAAATAAAGTTTGTGTACCTTTTCTCCTATTAATCTACCTTTTGTCAGTTTAATCCGCAGGTCCCAGATACAGAACATAAGAGAGTAGAGGAAAAGCTTTTTTTCCTTTTCTGCAGTTCTATATCATTTTAATGTTTATCATTTTTAATGGCTTATGTGCTCTGTTTTATGCTATTTAAATGTTCGCTACAGCATTGATTTATTTCTGTCGCCTTTAGTTTTTAGATCAATGGTTCTCAACCCTGGCTGGATAACAGAATGATCAGTGAGGCTTTTTAAAGGACCTAGATTTCTGGGGCCTACCCTAGAACAGACCCAATGAATCAGGCTATCTGGTAGGGGCCTGAAAGCTAGCATGTAAAACCAGTGTCAAAAAAACCCAGAAGCAGACAGAAGTTAAAGTGGTAAAGGCAGGTCTTATTCAAGAACTACTGTGATAGAAGAAAAGAAACCTCAGTATAGAACTGGGCTCCATTCTGAATACAACAAGGACAAGTGGGCATTTCTAGCCAAGGAGCAGGGTAGGTGTCACTGGATGGAAAATTACTAAAAGGAAACGTTAGAGGTAAGGGAGATTCTGGACTTGATAGGATTCTTGCTGAAGGCAGGCCAGGGTGATAAGATCGAGGGGAGGAAGAGGAATTTTGAGGGTGAGGGATTTTCGCTAAACTGACCCAGCAGGATTCTTGCAAAAACTGGACTAAGGGGGCCAAGGACAAGTCTAAGAGTTAGGCCTAGTCTCCAAGAGGACTCAGAGGGGCCTGATAAGGAGTCTTTGTCCACAGCAACAAGTGCTACAAAATATAACAAAGGTGACTCTGATGATGCATCTGTAGTTGAGAATTGTCACCTTCCTCTCATAGAGGTTTGAGGCTTGATATTTCATTTAGTTCTTTTCTTGATTCTCCCTCTAGTAGTAACTTGATGATTCTGTAAACGGGCAGCTTTGCCCCAAAAGCCTTTTGTCCTCTAGCCTTTTACTAGAGAGCACCATGGCACCAAAAGGAGACAAAGTTAAGACCAAATAGTTCTTGTTTTGAAGCAAACACACTTCAACAGATATTAAAGGCCTATTGTGCTCCAGGCAGTGTTCTCGTTGGTGGGGATATAGTGCTGAATAAGGCAGACAAGGGCCCCTGCTCTATTAGTTGGGAGTGTGATGGTGAAAGAGTAGAATACACCAATATATAAACAAGTTAATTTCAGATAGTGATAGCACTATGAAGAAAATAAAAGAAAGGTATAATAGTGACTTACGGAAGGCTATATTAATGACAGGATGTTTATACATTGTTATCAGTCATGCTCAGGTTTGGGATCTAGTAATCCAGGCCGAGAAATAGCAAGTACACAGCCCCAAAGTCAGTGACAAGCTTGGCCTATTCAAGGGACAGAAAAAAAACCAGTAGGACAAGAACAGTGTAGGCAATGGGATGTGGTGGTGTGAATAGGAATCTCTGACAGTCATGCGTCACTTACTGATGGGGACACATTCTGAGAAATGCATCTTAGGCGATTTTGTCATTGTGCAAACATCATAGAGTACACTTACACAAACCTAGATGGTATAGCCTACTACACACCTAGGCTATATGGTATAACCTATTGTTCCTAGGCTACAAACCTGTACAGCATGTTTCTGTACTGAATAGTGCAGGCTATTGTAACACAATGGTAAGTATTGTTATCTAAATGTATGTAACACATATGTAAAAAAGATACAGTAAAAATATGGTATAAAAGATAAAAAATTGTACACCTGTGTAGGGTACTTACCATGAATGGAGCTTGCAAGACTGGAAGTTGTTCTGGATGAGTGAGTGAGGGTGGTGAGTGAATGTGAAGGCCTAGGACATTTTTGTACACTACTGCTGACTTACAAACACTGTACACTTCAGTTACATTAAATTTATAAAAACTTTCTTTTTTCAGTAATAAATTAACCTTAGTTTACTGTAACTTTTTGGTTTATAAACTTTATGGGGGCTGGCCCAGTGGCTGAGTGGTTAAGTTCGCGCGCTCCGCCTTGGCGGCCCAGGGTTTTGCTGATTCGGATCCTGGACGTGGACCAAGCACCACTCGTCAGGCCATGTGCTACGTCCCACATAGCACAACCAGAAAGACCTGCAACTAGAATATGCAACTATGTACTGGGGGGCTTTTGGGAGAAGGAAAAAAAAAGATTGGCAACAGATGTTAGCTGAGGTGGCAATCTTTAAAAAAAAACTATGATTTTTTTAAACTTTGACTCTTTGTAATAACGCTTAGCTTAAGACACAAACACATTGTGCAGCTGTACAAAAATATTTTCTTTCTTTATATCCTTATTCTCAAAGCTTTTTCTATTTTTAAATTTTTAAATTTTTTTTAATTTTTAAACTTTTTTAAAAACTAAGACACACGCACATTAGCCTAGGCCTACACAGAGTCAGGATCATCAATATCACTGTTTTCCACCTCCAGATCTTGTCCTACTGGAAGGTCTTCAGAGGTAATAACATGCATAGAGATGTCATCTCCTATGATAACACTGCCTTCTTCTGGAATACCTCCTTAAGGACCTGAAGGTTTCTTTACACCAGCATAACCACAAACAATGTGTTGAACTGCGATGTTACAACCTAGGCAATAGGAATTTTTCAGCTCCATTATAATGTTATGGGATCACTGACGTATATGCAGGTTTGTTGTTGACTGAAACGTCGTGGTGCATGCCTGTAATTCATTTTAAGGGTGAGTCCAAGGCATTTGACCTTGAGCAACTGCTCAATTACTGTTTTAATAGTAAATTGTTAAGCTGAGGAAGACTGATGCAAATTGAGGGGAACCTGGGGAAGCAAAAGATGCCCATTAGGCATGAGCTCTAAGTAGGCTTCTGGATCTGGGACTTTGAAGCAGTGCCTCTCTCCCTGCCTCCTGCTCTCCCTGTGTCTTTTCACATGTCAGCCTCAGGATAGCCACATTTCTTGCAAGCTTGCATGTTGATCAGAAGCTCCTGGAGCAATTATTCTAAAAGAAACCTGCAGAAGCTGCATGGACTTTTCCAGCCTAACCTTGGAAGTCATGCGGAGTCACAACCTCCGCCTTTTGATGGGAAGTGTATCAAACAATTTGCAACAATGCTTTAAAACCGTCACATTACAGAATCCAAATTATAGTAAGTTTATTATCTTTCAAGGTTAATAATCATTTCGCTTTGAAAATATTGTTGGTTAGTAGCTTATCTTTGAAATTATTAATGATATAGTACTTTTCTTTGTGTAGTTAAAATTATTGCCTTAAAATTGTAAACTATTTATTTATGCTGTACTGGTGGTTCTAAAAGTCTTCCTATGACTTCCTCACATAGATACCTCACTGAATCCTATCACACTTCATCAAATGAAATAAAATATTGAAGACAGTAGAGTTCTTCAAACTTTTGAAACTGTTCAGAGTTCTATAGCTCTATCCTTAAAGGATGTAAGAAGAGATTTCCAGTTGTGGTTGTCATTTGTTCACTAGAATGAGTCCTAAACCTGTGGGATGGTGAAATAAAATTTTCAATAGCTGAAGCTCTAAGGACTTTTTAAAAAGTTTATGCCTTGTGTATTTTTGTATTTTGAAAACAGCATTTTTTTCTTTAATTTGTCTGGAATTTTATAATTTATTCCTTTCTATTAGGTTTTATTAGGGAAAGTAGGATTGAATTTTATTTTAATGTGAGTGATTTTAAGAACTCAAAATGTGGGATTCTCATCCCTGACTATGTATTACTCACCTTGGGAGCTGTTAGAAAAATACCTATGCCCAGGTCCTGCTCCCAGGGATTCAGATTAGTTGATTTGGGGTGGAGTCCAGCTCCAGGTATAGGTAACTTTTACAGCTCTCCAGTTGATTCTGTTATGAAACCAGTTTGAGACCCGCTGGTCTATTGCATCAAACTGTGGTGTTTGCTGATGCTAATCTTGGTCTCTGTAACAGGAAAAAGAAATGGAAGGCCTGCCTGATGCTGCTGCTTTTGCAACTAAACTTAAAAATACTCTGATCCAGTACCATAGCATTGAAGATGATAAGTGGAGAGTTGTTAAGAAAACGGTAAATTACTTAAATTACTTATATTTGGGGTATATTTTCTCTCTAATGAATTGGTTGATGACTTTCAAAATGGTATGGAAAAATATGGATCATATTTTAGATGGATGTGCAGGAGAGAGAATTGTGCTAATCAAGGTAGTGGTTTAACATCTCACAAGGAAGAAACATGGTAATCCTGCATTGCTTTCATTAGTTCTTTAGATATTGGACATGAAAGTAGACTCATGGCAACCAGAGCCTAATGAGTAGCCTCTTAAGTCAACAAATAAAATATGTCATTGTCAATTTAAGGAAGTAATTGATAGTTTGGAATAGTTTCAGATATTTCAACAAGCCTGAGAGGATGGCCAGTTAGTGTTCTTTTTTACCAATATGACTTGCCCAAACTATCACATGGCTGAGTGTTGACAGAGCCAACCCTAGAACTCAGGACACTTCCAGTCAAGTGCTCTAGCTGTTCTGATATTCAGAATTTCTTGGAAAATGATCAGAAAAAAAAAGTAGGGACTAATTCAAGATAACACTGTTAATAGATGTGAATAGTTTTTAAAAAAAGATAAGAGCAAGTTCAGAAGGAAATATTTAGTATTCCTAATATCTTAGTCTAAGTGTGTCAGTAATGGTAAATGTCTAAGATTGGAATGAGGCAAATAATAATGGCCAATAAAATAGTGTCATTACTGAATCTTCACAGTGTTTGGATCTCATTAAACTCCTGAAAAATCTTTTTTGGAGGTCTGTAATTTAAGTAAGATGTAAAGAATTTTAGGATACAGAAGAAATTAAAATATACATCATTTGATGGTATAAATGACTTATGTATCTCTTTGAATATTTATTTGTTTTATTTTAATGCAAAGACTAATGCTCTAGACTAATGAAATTGTCAGTTTTATATGCAAGGTTACACAAATGTAATTATCACCATATTCTGTTTTTATTGTTTTAGAAAGATGTAACAATTTGGAGAAAGCCTTCAGAAGAATTTAATGGACATCTGTAAGTAAATTCTTGTAATTTTTTGCAGCTCTTAAGACGTTGCTAAACTTCATATATATATATAATATATATATATCACTAAATGACCATTGCCAATAGAATTTGTTTTTTTCTTTTAAGATTTTAAACTTTATGAGAAGCAAATCAGTTTATGAATTGAAAGCCTTTTTTTTGAATTTTAAGTAATTTTATTGGGATTATAATGGTTTATAACCTTATGTAATTTTCGGTGTACATTATTGTTGATCAGTTCCTGAATACACTTCATCATACTTACCCCCAGTAGTCTAATTTTTATCCATCACCATACATATGTGCCCCTTTGTCCTTTTTGCCCACCCCCCAACCTCCTTCCCCTCTGGTAACCACTGATCTGTTCTCTTCAGCCATGTATTTCTTATCTTCCACATATGAGTGAAATCATGCAGTATTTGTCTTTCTCTGGTTTATTTCACTTATCCTGCCTTCCACGTCCATCCATGTTGTTGCAAATGGGACAATTTTGTCCTTTTTTATGGCTGAGTAGTATTCCATTATCTATGTATACCACATCTTCTTTATCCATTCATGTGTAGAAGGGCACTTGGGTTGCTTCCACATCCTGGCTATTGTGAATAAAACCATAAAACTCCTAGAAGACAATAAAGGCAGTACACTCTTTGACATTAGTATTAGCAGCATCTTTTCAAATACCATGTCTACTCGGGCAAGGGAAACAAAAGAAAAAGTTAACAAGTGGAACTACATCAGACTAAAAAGCTTCTGCAAAGCAAAGGAAACCATGAACAAAATGGAAAGACAACCCACCAACTGGGAGAAAATATTCGCAAATCATTTATCAGACAACGGGTTGATCTCCAAAATATATGAAGAACTCAGACAACTGAACAAAAAGAAAACAAAAAACTCTATCAAAAAATAGGCAGAGGACATGAACAGACATTTTCCCAAGGAAGATATACAGATGTCCAACAGACACATGAAATGATGCTCAACATCACTAATTATTAGAGAAATGAGAAATATCACCTTACATGGGTCAGAGTGAAAGCCTTTAAAATGTCCATCTCCCTCTGGACTGAGTTGGTGGTGAGGGGATCATAAATAATGATACCAAGTGGCTGGTGAAATTTTAATTTCTTAGTGTGGTATACAAGACACTTCCAGTATTCTTCTACATTTACTCAGTGATATAGCATACTTTATGAATTTATCTTGAAGAAATCATCAGAAAGACAATAGTTCACTACTTGTCTCTTCCACCACAGCATTACTTATAAAATTAAAAAAAACAGTTGAATAATCCATAGTTGGAAATGATTAAATTGTGAAGCATATGTGACATTTTACAGTCTTTAAAAACTATGTTTTCAAATATTATTTAAAAACATAAAAAAATGCTCAAGAAATAATGTAAGGTGAATAAAACAGAATGCTAAACTGTAGCACAATTATGGGTTGACTTTATACATTTTTATATATTTTTTTAAACACCAAATATACATGTCCATATGGTGGTTTTATGAATGATTTTTATTTCCGTTTTTTGATATTTGCATATAGTTGAACATGAATTATGCCTTTAATCAGAAAAATATTGTTTTTTAAAGCCACTGGAGACAATTGCCTTGTGTAATTGGAATGAAATTTCACATTCTTGGGACTCAGTCCTTTTTAAAATGAAACTGCTGGCCCCACTTACTATATCCAGAATGTTCTGAAGTATAATACCAAAATTAGCATTTCCAGAAAGATGAGCTGTACGATATTTATGACAAGGACAAGGAAACTAGAGTTGCATTAAGCTTTATGAGGAAGTGTGGAAGGTAACCCTTTAGATGGTAATTCCCAGTGGGGGTTGAAAGTGTAAAAAATGCCACCGGAGCACTATGCTTGGTGATCTGAAAGGACTTCATAGAGGAGCCAATATCTGAGCTGAGCCTTAAAGGAAGAACAGGTATTTCTTAGGGAATGAAGGACTGATTCACATCCCAGGTAAAGGGAATTGCACCTATTACATAAACACAGATGGAAACACTTTAGGAAGTTTGTTTAGGAAAGTAGAAGTTGTGTTTGTATAGTTGGAGCATAAAGTGTGGGGGTTGGGAGAGCATACGTCTGAAGGGCTTTTGAATTCTAAACTAAGGGATTCAGTGTTGCACTTTCCCTCTGCTCAACCCCCACTCCACCTTCTAGGTCCTCAAAGGGTTTTGAATCTACTCTAATTACACTGTGAAACGTGGAAATAAGCATGGATAGTTTAGAGAAAAGCTTTTACCCTGGAAGTCCATGGCTGGCTGCTTGAAGTTCCCCTAAGATTATACGTAAAATTTTGTCAATGTGTATATTCCTGGGAAGAAATCTGTGGCCTTTTACAGATTCTTAAAAAAGATATGTGATTGAAAGAGCTGGAAACTGAGGCAGTGCTGAGTTGGACACAGAGTACCCAAACTAAAGACATAGCACGGGAATTGAAAAGGGCGAATGAAGGTGAAAGAGATTTAATGATAGTGATGGTGGTGGTGGTGGTGATGATGATGATGGCAATGGCAATGGCAATGATAACTAACATTTCTTGGGAACTGGATATTGCTCTAAGTACATTTAGGAAATCATCTTGATAAAACATGATAGCTTATTAGTCTGACTATTGGAATGGGGTTAAGAGAAAAAGAAGAGTCAAAGTTGAATCCTAGATTTCTAATTTGGATGACTAGGTTAATTTGTATTACCCACACATGTACACTCTCCACCCCAAGTTAGAAAACACAGAAGGTAAGAGCAGATTTTGCATGGGGGATATAATGTAAGTTTTATATAGCTTGAGATGTTTACAAAATGGTAAAACAGCTTCAGATGCTTTAAACAAACAAGCAAAAAGGATCCCCAAAAATGTTACTGGTAGAGTTAAAGACAATCCATCTTTCATTTCTTCTCTTTTCTTTTCTCCCTAGAGGTTACTATTTTGAAGTTGTGTGTATTACTCCTGGTTCATACTTTGACCACATGTGTGTGTGTTTTCTTTAGTAATTTGCTTTTAATTTTTTCCATTGAATATTGTAGTTTCAAGATTTAGGCACGTTGTTAGATGTAGATCTATTCTTTTACTTCTATATGAGTATACCACAGTGTGTTTATCTGTCTGTAAATTTGCCTACTGACGAATTTTTAGGTTGTTGTCGGTTCTTCCCTATAAAGTGCAGTGTTATAGTAAACTTCTTGTTATATGTCTCTTTCTACACACTTGTGTGATTTTCTTTGGGTATGTACCTGGGTCTTAGGGATATACATCATCTAGCTTTACTAGACATTGCCAAACTGCTCTGTGAAGTGCTGGGAGCAGTTTGAGAGTTCTCATTCCTTTCCATTCAATACTTGTTATCAAGTTTTTAATCTCTGCCAATCTCAGGGGTGTGAGATAGTATCTTGTTAGTATTTACTTGATGATGAGTGAAGTTGAGCATCCTTTCTAAATTTATTGACATTTCAAGCCAATCTTAACATGTCCTTTGCCCATCTTTTCTTTAGATTGTCTGTTTTTTCTCATTGGTTTATAGGAATTAATTATATATCCTCTATAATAATTATATGTCTGTTTATATGTGCTGCACATATCTTCTTACAGTCTGTGGCTGGTTTTTATTTTGTTATTTGTGATATGCAAGTTCTGAATTTTAACCATCTTGTATTATTTGTGGTTTTATGTGTTTTATGCATTCAGGAAATCTCCCTGTATCCTGAGGTCACAAAGTTGATAACATATATTTTTCTCAAAGTTTTACATTTCACTCTATCTGGAATTTACTGTTTTGAATTGTGTGAAGTAGGGATTCAGTTTTTATGTTCCCTATTAGGATAGCTATTGAATCCAAACACCATTTATGGAATAGTACACTCTCTCCCCACTGATAGGTAAAGCCACCTTGAAATACATCAAGTTCCAATATTATTCCCGAGTCAATCCTGGGTGTTCTATTCCTGGGTGACCTATTTTTCTGTTCCTAATAAAAAAAGTTTAAAAATCAGGGTATAAATATCCATATACTAATAACACGTTAGAGCATACCGACAGGAGACTAGCATACATCATGAATGGAAGCATTGCAGTGTTCTGTAGACTGCTTTTGGCTACACCGTAACATGAAGGTACTTTACTATGTTTGTGATAATGCATAATATAGCCTGCAGATGTCTTATTAGATTAAGGACAAAGAGTACATTCTGATAAAATAATTGATAGAACTTAACTTATTAGAAAAGTTGTTGCAATTTACTTCCTTTAAAAAATCTTCACTAACTTTTACTCTTTTTGAATTTAGCTCTGAACTATGTGGGCATGCTGAAAGTTTTCATTCTAATAGCATTTGACTTTAATATTTTTTTCTCCAGCTTCAAAGCCCAAGGCGTTATAGATGATGTTGTCAATAGCGTAATAGACCATATACGCCCAGGTCCTTGTCGCTTGGATTGGGACAGCTTAATGACTTCACTGGATATTTTGGAGCATTTTGAAGAGGTATTTGTTTAGAAACATTACTTCAGAGTGTGTGTATGTTTGTGGGAGAGAGAGAGTGCAAGCGAGCCTGTGAGCGTGAGTATGTGTACACACTTGTATTCATCGCTTTGAGAATAGGTAGTCATGACAAAGAGCTCACAGGGGAATCCTTGCTGCCTTTTAAAAAGCTTGAGTTTCCATGTATTAACTAGTGGAAGTGTTAGAACTGAGTTTGTTTTCCATAGTACCTCTGCCCTTGCTGCTTAAGAAAATTGTCAGAGTCTTTAATTGTAAAAATTTAGTTGAGGTTCTGAAATCTAAAATTCTGAAAACACCACCGTCATATTCAGGTTTCTATGTAATTGCATGTAGGTTTCTCAATAACATTAAGCCAAAGTCAAAGACCAAAGATAAAAATGCCACCTTAGGCATCAGAGAATTATGTAACCAAAGTGGCTTCCTCTCTTTTTCTATTTTTGTTAATTCATTTCTTGCCATGTTTGAATTTCTTTATTGAAACATTTGATATTTTAGTAAAAATATTTGTGGGTTTTATCTTAAACACCTACAGTCTACACAACCTGCTTCCACGTGGAATATCCTATAGGATACAAGGTGACTGTATTGAATTAGAGATTTCAGTACCAGGTAACTTACCTCTCTGTATGTATATTGATTATATATCTTCTTCATGTCCTTACAGTAGCAGTCAGATTTAGAATAGAGATCTGAACCTGTAAGAATCACTCTAAGAATTGTTATTAAGAATAACTATAAAACATCTTAAATGAGTATTGGCTTGTTAGCCAAGATTAACTTATGATATATGAGTTGATGTGTGGTTTCCTATAGAAGTAACACCTGTTACCTGTTCTCTTTCAGAATTGCTGTGTGATGCGTTACACCACTGCTGGTCAGCTTCTGAATATAATTTCCCCGAGAGAGTTTGTTGATTTCTCCTACACTGTGGGCTATAAAGAAGGGCTCTTATCCTGTGGTAATGATCTCAAGACCTTATACTTTCTTTCAGTTTGTTTTAAATATTTGAGTTTTCTAGGCTGCATGTTTCTTTCTATGGAAGATTTATTTTCAACCTTCATACTTATTTTACAATCACTAAGCTTTACTTTCAAATGCTAGACCCTGGGAATTAAAATAACAATACCAAGGAGGATTTTGAAATCTTTCTGATAAGTGTTTATTCCCAGTTACATGGTATCCTCCGGGTCACAGCTAACAAATATGGATCACGTGCCTGCCTCTAAGAAAGGGAGCCAGTAAACAGATTTCCTTCTAAATCACTCTCAGAAAACAGCCTCTTAGTCATACACATAGAAAAAAAATAGACTTGGTATGTATTAGAGTATTTTTTCTTCCCTGTGCTGTATAATATTTTTCTTTTCAAAAGTAAAAATACTTCTCTTAGAAGGCTCCTGCTTTCTAAAATATACCAATAGGTAAATTAATATGTTTTTATGTATAGTATATACTTGAGTCGGCAGGTGTAGGTAAACATCTACTTGTTATTCTTAACCAGACAGTACCAAATTTGCATGTGGTAGTGCCTGTGGGGAGTGGCGGTGGTACCATAGGTTTGCTTATTGGCACCTTGAGGCCTGGTGCCAAGAGTTGTAGTTTCCAAGAAGCTACTAAGATGACATGATGTCATCTATTCCGAAGGGATTAGAACTTTCTCCATTACCTATCTACCAGCTTCCTGTCAGCATTGTACTTGGTAATTACCTTTTCCATTCTTCCATGGTCACTCCTGGGGCTTAATTTTCATCTACATGGATAGGAAGAAAAATATTTAAGCAAGAAATCTGATAATATTTTTATTTTTTATTTTTTTTGAGGAAAATTAGCCCTGAGCTAACTACTGCCAGTCCTCCTCTTTTTGCTGAGGAAGGCTGGCCCTGAGCTAACATACTGTGCCCATCTTCTTCTACTTTATATGTGGGACGCCTACCACAGCATGGTGTGCCATGTGGTGCCATGTCTGCACTCGGGACCCGGGCCGGTGAACCCTGGGCCGCTGAGAAGCGGAACGTGCGAACTTAATCACTGTGCCACCGGGCCAGCCCCTGATAATATTTTTAATGAAAGTTTTAGACTAATGTCAGTCATTGCTATTAATAGTGTTATTTTAAAATTGCCTTGTAGGGATAAGTCTTGACTGGAGTGAAAAGAGACCAGAATTTGTTCGTGGATATAACCATCCCTGTGGTTGGTTTTGTGTTCCACTTAAAGACATTCCAAACCAGAGTCTTTTGACAGGCTACATTCAGACAGATCTGCGCGGGATGATTCCTCAGTCTGCAGTAGATACGGCCATGGCAAGCACTTTAATCAACTTCTATGGTGATTTACGAAAAGTCTTAGGAAAGACATAATATGTTTAAACTTGTAGTTCTATGATTCCCTGAATCAACCATTTCTCTCAGCTGCATGGCCTGTAAAAATCATCCTTTCTTCTCTTCTGCCTAGTCTGTAGAAAAATTTGAGATGTTTTTGGTTTATTGTATTCCTAAAGTAAATAGCTATCTAAGAGAGGGCATTTCAATTTTCTTAAACAGTTATCTGCACATTGTTTGGCATGGGAGTGTGTTAGAAATGGAGAGTATGACAAAAATACATCAGAAGTAGATACAATTCTTTGACCCAAACTCTGAAGGAATTGAATAGTACCTCAGGAGGAATATTTTGGCTGCTTGAAAATTAGAGAAAGCACATGCTTCATTCTGTTAGGTTAAAATCATCTATTTTAGAGCTTTATGAACATTTTGTAAAAGTTTTAATTTTTTTTAGAAGTTAAATATTAGCGCTTTACTTTTGGTATGCTCTGTGAGTTTGCCAATATCTTGAACTAAAGAAAAAATCTCTTCTCTGTATTTTATAAAGATGAAGTTCATTGTCAATTGACTTGCACTACTTTAGGTATTGAAAAGATCAGAAATAAGAATAGATATCATAGTAACTATAGACACAATTCAAATGCAATTCAATTTTGATAACTAGATAGCACTATTTTGTTGATATCTTTAAAAATATATTTGTATCTTTATATAAATTTATTTAAAGAGTCTTAAAAAGCATTTATGCATGAATAAGACAGTCCAAAAAACTGCCAAATATGTGCTGGGGACACCACATTGATTGGGCAGTAGTCTGGCTCGTGTGAAATGGCTGGTGGTATCCTGTATTCACTGGTAGAGAATCATCTCCTTAAAAGTCAAATTCAATGAGTGTTCTGTACGTGTTTCAGTTTTAAAAGTATCGCCCACCTCATAAAGTATTACTAAACTACATCATAAACATTCACAATTGTGATGTAACTTCAGTCTGGAGCTATAACAAATGCATTCATTGATTTATCCAAATGCCCAGATGAGTCATTTTATAACTAGAACGGACTATAATTCTATAATCCTTGATTCTCTGGCTGCCTTAAATGAACATTCCTAAATGATTTAACATTCCAAGTGATTTTTTGGCTTTTGAACTATCCACCTTATTTATTTCTAAAATGAGAACTTGAGGCAACTCCATGTGTCTGTGCAAATATATTTATGTTTGTGTGCGTGCACACATCTTGAAATCTAATTCAGCGTTCAATGTGAGTTCTTTATGTGTTTCATACTGTTTCCATTGTTTCATTTCTTTTTTTTGTTTGTTTGGTTAATATGGGGTCAAGTGAGCACTGGAAATACTTATGTGCCAGATAGGCCACAAAAAGCACAAAAGCATGAAGGTTTGATCTGTGTTTTACTTTACTGTGTTTTCCTAAGTGTAAAGAAGCATAACTCATTGTTCTTCGGACCCATTTTGATAAAGTGGAAAAAGTAGAGCTGGTTTTGTTTTTATTTATATTTTTTTGCTCTTGGAGATGATGAGGTTCAAAAAAAAACAAAAGGTGGCAGCACCACAATATTCATGGTGAATAATCTCACAGCTTTTAGACTGAAAATGATTTGTTTCAAGATCTGACAGAAGCAATGCACAAACGATCCTATATTCTTAACTTGAAATTTATTTATCACCAATATCCTTTTCTAAATTGACTGTAACTTTTGAGTTGCTGGATTTCTCTGCTACTTTTTGTCTTCTTGCAGTATGGAAAGAAAGCTCAGCAATTAGCTTTCAGTTTCCCACAGAAATTGTTAAATGTTAATTTTGAATTCATCTATTTTCTTTTTCTTTGGTTTTATTAGTGTAGAGTAGGAGGTTTCTTATATTCCAATATTCTGTTTAGGATGGCAAAATACCAGCAGATGTCCAGTTATAGGGTGCCTGGATTGGGTAAGGGATTTGCGACAAGATTGTACATTACCATAAGGGCTATTATTGCCTGAGCTGGGTGCCCCTAATGGTAAATAAGCTGTCCACTCTCAGCCACTCTAATGTTCCCTTCGTGTTTTTCAATTTATACCTAAAACTAGTGATTACATAATCCACTGTTGAATGTGAACCCACTGCAGGTAAAAGGACTCTCGTGGAAAAATTTTCATTGCGATACCGTCATATGATGGATTGAAAAATTATATTTGAAATACTTGAAGTTTATATGCAGCTTCTGGATGGGACTTTAGATCTGCTGGCCTCTAGCTGTGTACTGAAGAAAAACAAACAGCTTTTTTGAGGTATAATTTACATGCTATACAATTTACTGGTTGTAGGTATACATTCCCGTGATTTTTTTTTTTTTTTTTTTGAGGAAGATCAGCCCGAGCTAACATCTGCTGCCAATCCTCCTCTGCTGAGGAAGATTGGCCCTGAGCTAACATCTGTGCCCGTCTTCCTCTATTTTATATGTGGGACGCCTGCCACAGCATGGCTTGATGAGTGTTACACAGGTCCGTACCTGGAATCCGAACCAGTGAACGCCGGGCCACCTAAGCGGAGCAGGATAACTTAACCGCTGTGCCCCCGGGCTGGCCCCTACAATCCAGGGATTTTTTAATACATGTATAGTTGTGCAACCATCACCACAATCCAGTTTTAGAACATTTCCATACCCAAAAAGATCCTCTTGCCTGTTTGCAGACTCATATCGAACCAAACTTTTGCACAGTTGCCAGAGTACAGATGATGATGAAAAAGATTAGAGTAGGTTTTATTTGTTTTTTTTAAGAGTAGAGGTGTATTTGAGTGTAAGCTCAGGAACCTTGTGGTAATGTATTAAATAGATTATTTCAAACGCCATAATTATACAAAAATTTAACAGTATGGATTGGGATTAATATTAATGTTAATTGAGCCTACTGTTTCCTATAGCAGTGCTGTATAATAGAAAAATATGAGCCATATGTGTAATTTTAAATTTTCTAGCAGCCACATTGAAAAAGTAAAAAAAAAAACAGCTGAACTTAATTTTAACAGTATAGTTTATTTAATCCAGTAGATCCCAAATATTATCATTTTAACATGTAATCAATGTAAAAAAATCATTAAAATGTCTTACATTCTTCTTTTGTACTAATTCTTTGAAATGTGGTGTGTACTTTACTAATTTGGACTAAGCACATTTTAAGTGTTCGTTCTCTACATGAGGCCAGTAGTCTATATTGAATAGCACAGTTCTATAGTATATGTATTAATTTGTCTTTCTGTTCTATAAAGTAGAGAATTTCATGGAATTTCTCTCTTAAATACAAAATCTTTTCTGGTCTCTGGAGCTTCAGTGCTTGCTAAATGAGGACTTCTGACCATGAGAAATAAATCAGTTAGAAGTTATCAATAAAATATAAATTACAGCCCAAAAATATTTTTCTTTAAAGATAATTAACGTTTCATAGAGCAGTTAATGAAATGAAAGAATATAACCTGCCTTGTTGTTATGTGGTCGATTATTTTCTCTAGCTTATAGCTAGTTTATATTAGAAATATTTGTATGTAGGAAATACTTGGCCTAGTACTGGTTTCAGTACGTGATCTCAGTTTTCTAAAGGAAATTAGTTTCCTACAGGAAAAAATAATTTATCATAAGTGGTACTTTTGCCTGAAATATTATAACTCTTGATTAACCCTACATTACTCAGCAAAAATAATTATAAGAATTTAGTGTTCTGCAGATGCATATAATGTAAACTGCTAGAGTATTAATGAGAGATTGTAAATGTTAAAAATCTTTTCATTTCATTGTTCCTTGAAGTTGAATATATTTGAAATATGTATAAAATTATCTCCCAGTAAAAAAATTTTCTTTTTTTCTTTCCTCCCTCTTTCTTTCCTAACTGAAGGACATTTTATCAACACTCAGGTTGAATTAACATCTCAAGCTAAAAACCTGTAATTGAGGTTGCCTCTGGAGAAAACAGGAAAATATTGCACAATTTAAGTCCTTAATTGTCTATTGATCTTTTAGGTATGAGGAATTCCCTTTGATGTAGATAGAAGCTTTACCTGGTTTACTCAAGAGCTCGCTAGAATCTTCAGAATCAGTTATTAAAATCTAGTTTCTTTTAATTAAGTGGACACTGTAGCTGTCTCAACCGTATGGATAAATTAATGGAACCCAGAGAAGTTAAGGGACTTGACCAGGTTTCTATTAGAAGCGTGTGTCATATAATTATTTGTCTGTTGATTTTCCCATGTCTTTCTTATTCAACTTCTAGACGTAGGAGATGGAGGGAAATCTGAGCATAGAAGTAACATTAGATTAATCCCAGAACACAGGTAATTGCAATGATAATTTCCTCATTATTTTCTTGTTTCCAAAGATTTTACATGTACAGTTGAACAAAAATTGATGTCTTGTAATTCAATTAAAGCTATACTGTATAGAGATTTTATTTTTTAAGAAGTTTGTAATTCTTTTGTGAGCCAATACATAAAACTAGAACCTTTATTTAACTACAAGCATGTATTAATGTAAATAAAATGTGCATTTATTTTTAAAATTGCTATGAAATGTCAGAATAAAATTTCTAGACACTCTTATAATTGATCATTGATGCTGTCTTTGTAAGTTGTTTTAACCTTAACTACTGATAAAAAGTTTCATATATCTGAAATTAAAGTCTGTAATTTAACTTCCTGAACTCGTACAAAAGAAAAATATAAACTGGAAATAAAGATTAATAACGCACATGCTAATCTCCTGCCAATGTCTCATACATTAGGGACAGTACTGGTGAATCTTGATTTGCTATTATATAGCCAGGAAGATGATGAAAGTATTCTGTCCTATTACAGTAACATATGGACAGGGTTTGTTGTATACACATTTAAATAATTGTGATAATTTGATTAGGAATTGTGATAACTTCATTTGGAGTTGAAAAAAGCTGTAAGTGATTACAAAGAAACCCTTGATCTCTGTTCTAAGAAAGCAATTATGGATGCTGTGGGCAGTATGCAATAGAAAATATGACTGTTAAGTGGTTTAAACAAATAGGGAGTTATTTTCCTCATTGAATAAAAAATCTGGATATGGGTAATTGTTAGTGTTTATCAGCTCAAGAATGTCAGGGCCAGTGTTTCTACAATTCTCTTCATCTTTCCCTTTTAGTGATAAGGTGACTGACTAGCCCTGGAAATTCCATGTGCATTCAAGTCAAGAAGAAGCAGGAGAACGCATGGCACCACTCATCTGTCTCTTTTACCAGAAGGGCAAAAGCTTTCCTAGAAGCTTCCAATAGCTCTTCTTTCCTGTAGTCTGGGTTGCATGACTACCCTATGTGTAAGGGTAGCTGGGAAGGCAAACATAAGGACATCCAGCCTCTTGGAGGGATGGTTGGTAATGACTCTGGATAGCCAGCCATAGCATTTCTCGATGGATCAGCTCTGGGAAGTGTGTATAAGGCCCTTCAGATGTCAGTTGGAAAGTGATAGACTCCCAAAATAGAAATGAAATTATCAAAGTAGTCATTCACTTCTTTATGAAACATGTATTGGGCCCCTTCTACATGGCAGACACTATATAGCTATCCTTAATTGAGGTAACAAGGTGATGGAGCTTCCTTTGTAGGTTGTTAATTAATGGTTGGTATCACATGGCATCCAACATGAATGAACTATGTTTATGTTATACCGTGTTTCTATTCCTCTGGAGCAAAGGGTCCACTATGGAAGAAGGCTTCTATAGCCAGGAGATGACAGAAAATTGCTGGAAAATGTGAACTGCAAATGTGTCTCAGGAGAGAGAGGGTGGATCCATACTTCTTGTGTTATCAGCTATACAGCTGATTTGTGAGGTGTAATAATGGAGGAAGCATAGTGTACAAGTACCAAAATAAGCTTTTTACTCATTATTTAGATGGTATCCTTTTTTAGGAGCTTTATACCTTCCTACTTAGGTTTTGCTTTAGTGACATCCCTTAGATACAAGGCACTGGATTTCCTATTAAAAGAAGTAGTCAGGGGCCGACCTGGTGGCATAGTGGTTAAGTTTGCACATTCTGCTTCGGCGGCCCAGGGTTTGCTGGTTTAGATCCTGGGTGTGGACCTATGCACCGCTTGGCAAGTCATGCTGTGGCAGCTGTCCCACATATAATGTAGACGAAGATGGGCACGGATTAGCTCAGGGCCAGTATTCCTCCAAAAGGAGGAAGATTGGTGGTGGATGTTAGCTCAGGGCTAATCTCCCTCAAAAAAAAAAAAAAAAAAGAAGTCGTCCAGAGATTGTGCACAACCGGGTTGAAATAATCATGTTTCATATAGTCAAAAATGGACTAGTTACAGGTGGGAGAGGCTTTTGTTTTTCTCTAAAATTTCCCTCAATTCCCTCAATCTAGAAGTCATTGTTTAGGATAAGTGTATCTGCTCAACAGAGCAAGGATTTTGGATCTAATGGTGGTTAGTAACAAGCTGCAATTTTGAGGGTAAGCTCTGCTGTCATATATCCCCTTCCCCTCAAATATTTCACAGAAACCCTCACTGATTGAGTGGCCAAGCTCAAGAGAGACTTTCAGATCTTTCTACAAATCGTGCTGCTAACAGCTTCTTAGGAGTGAACATGCAGTTTTTCCTTTTCATCCTCACGTCCTGGAGGTTTGAAAGCATCATCATGAAGTGATCACTGAAGGTCATTTGGCCCAACAATTCCACATTAGAGTTATTTCCTTAGGGTAGATTTCCCCAAACACAGAAAAGGCTTTATGTAGTGTTACTGAGAAAAGAAAAACAACTGAGACTGGATTATTATGCAGTTATCATAAATGTTTGTGAAGATTATGCAAAAATGCTTGTGCCGTAGTGATGGGTAGATACAAAAAAGTTGCAATATAATTACAAGTCTGTAAGAAAAAATTCAACTAATGTTAGAAAAAAAAGACAATGCTTGTCTTTGGAAAGCATTATTATGGTAATTTTGTACTTTTCTGGATTTTCAAATTTTTATAATGAAAAATCAGTTTTTATATGAATTGTTGTGTTTACCTCGTATCCAGCGAATTGATCTTCCAGGAGTGGAGAGCATTGGGATAGGAGATGGGCAACCCAGATCTATTCTCTTCTTAGCCACTAACTGTGATTTTAGATAAGTCAATACCTCTCTAGGTGTCACTTCTCTTTAATAAAATGAGCTTGTTGGATTAAATGATTACTAAGTTCCCCTTTTAACTTTAATGACTTTATGAATTTTATGAAATCACTGTATAGTGTTTAAAAATGCTATGAAACTCAAAGTATAATTTTATCTGAGAGAATGGGAAAACACTCAAGGACTGATTCAACTTTGAATTTCAGATGTAAGGAAAATGTCCATTGTGTCACTCTTGAATTGTGGTAACCTTTCAAATTACAGAATACAAAGTTTCGATGGGCTCTTAGATGATTTATTATCATACTTTACATGCAAATTGCTTTACAGATTTTCCAGCAGCAAGGTATATGCTTCTTTTGGCATGTTCTGACACATCTGGGTGAATTTACACAAAGTAACATTGGCTCTCACTAAGGTCAGTTTCAACAGGTAGTTTACCAACATCCATTTTGCCTCATGTCACATATTCTTCGTTTATGTTCCTGGGAAATACCAAAAAATGAGCATGTTTAGTCATTTAATTGGGTTATCCAACCACAGTCCAAGAAGAAGCCACAGTTGTCTGTGGCTCTCACGTTGTCTGCCCTAGGCTTTGGGCAGCTGAGAGAGCCAATGACTCTGTTGTGTCCCATCTGTAGGGAGTGGGGACTCACTCAGTCCTCGCCACTGATGAATAATATGGCAGCTCAATCGAAAGCAAATGGGCATGATTTTGATGAATTCTCTACAAACATTTTCTGTATTTACATTTATGGCCAAGTCAGACTTACATGTTCACCTAAAAAATATTGTAATATATCATTGTATTAAGGAGTCAATAGCACCATTTTGACAGGTTTTAAAAATGAAATGTTCACAGCTCCTTTTCAGTACTTTTTAATCAGAAGTTGAGAAGGTAGCCTATAACCTTGGCTGTGTTTATACTTTTTTTTGTCCTCCAAATCCTACCTGCACTTGTTTTTGGCTAATGACTTGCGGTCTAAACTACTGGAGATGTAGCTTTCCTGTATATAATGGTATTTCATTAATCTCATTTTCCATGCTGCTATTGAGCTGCTTATGTCCTTTCAGTCCAGGCAACTTTCAGCAACCCAGGAATACAAATTTCTCCTTTAGAAAAGCTAGAGAAGCCATACCAGATAATATCACATAAGCCTGAAAAGCCCTAGTAGGAAGTATTCCTCTCTTGAAGCCTGCTAACTTGTGTTTTCTGTACCCTCGTGTCTTAGCTTCTCTTCCATCACTCAGATGATAGTCAACCTTTGTCCCTTCTTTCATTTCATTTGCCCTAAAGAATAATGCAGCCATTCACTAATCACAGACATTATCTGAAAGAAACAAAGTAGCAAGACAACTAAAAGTATATTTCCTGTAATGTGATTCTAATTGGTATTTTTTAAAAATAAGTTTCTTGAAGATGGATATAAAATACTGCCATCAATGAGTGATATAAGAAGGAATTTACGGAAGGGTGTACAAAGGAGCAAAAAGTCAAGATGAAAAATAAAGGACTTGACAGGACCAGCTTGATGTTTGGGGAAAGCAGTTCTGATCTGAAAATTTTAAATCTTGTTGTCTGAGAGCTTTTTTGTACAGGTTATCTTTTGAAGTCTGAATTTTCAGGTATAATTCTATCTCAAAGGCTGTGGGGATTGCCCTTTCACGTCAGATCATATAAAGGGTTAAAATAACTATGACAGAAGTGACCTTGACATGGGCCTTCGCTGGCAAAACTTTCATAAGTAGTTGGGTGATTTTCTAGAGTCACAGGCAGATATTGAGATATTGGAGTTTTGCAAAATTTACTCAGATAATCACTATCATTGTTTACTCTGCTATGTCAGTGGAGACCTAGCCAATGCAGTTTTCGCTTTTAGTGACAGGCTTTGCTTCAACAGGTGACTTGCAAAAATGTCTTTGATATGTTGAGTGATTTTTATTCTGCTTAGAGATGCACCAAATTATCTAAGTATATAGGAGATCACAGAGGGCTAGATGCTCTGAGGAAATGCTGCACACATTATCTACCCAGAATGAGAAAGGACTGAAGAGGTCTAATACAACTTTGCACAAGATCTGAGATTCTTCTGCAGACTTAGCAACACTTTCCTGTGTATTTCAGCCTTTCATACCCAATATTGTTCCTTCACCACTTTGCCTTGCGTTTCTCCACTCTGTAGATTTCTCAACCTGGTGTGACCCCTTCCTCCTCCCTATCTACAAAGATTCTCCCCATCCTTCAAATCCAGCCTGTGTTCCCCTGAAGCTTCCCTTGATCATTCCAGGCAGAAAGGAGCTTTTCCTTCTTTCTATCCTTCGAGGGCTTACTGCTGGCCCGGATTTAGCACAGTCTATATATGTATACTTGTTTTTTTTCTCTCCAACTACAAAGCTGACTCCTAGAGGAGTTTAATTCGTCTCTGGCTCCCTCATTGTACCTAATTGTTTCTCAGTGAAAGTTTACTGAGAAAATGGGTTCCTAGGATGGGCTACTCCTGGGAAGCTTCAAAATTAGCAAATCATTTCCTTAAAGTGTGCTTGCAATGTAGGCCTAATTTTCCCTAAACTACACTGTTTAATTTATGGTGCTAAGAGTAAAATTAGCTGTTGACTTTGGTCTATTCATTTCTAAGGGAATCAGGTAACCCAGATATTGAGACAGACATAGAAATGTTAAAGGCCATTAACAACTGCCTTCAAACTGAGCAATCAAGAAAAATGGGCAGGTGGGGGATCCCAATTTACATTTTTTCTTTTCCTTCTCCAATTCCAGTAAAGTCTGTCTCCTACACACATCAACCATGAGGAGCTAGCATACGATTCATCTTTTTTCCTGAGTTCTACAGTTCTGTAAAACTATAACCCAGTGGCTATGTATTAATTGCTGCAACAGTTTAAAGAAAACAGTATGTCATTGAATTAGAATCATGATATAATTTTAGGTATTCTTAATAAGCTGATAATAGGTTTTCTACTGAATATCTCATTTGTAACCTTTTGGCTACAGATGTTCAAAGTCAAATACAAAGGTCATGCATGCCTACATTTCTCAATATCTGGGTCACCTGCTTCCCTTAAGGCAGATAGTGCGGAATGAATAATTTCCTTGTGATAGAAATAGACTAGAAGGGGCCTTCTTGGATTTCTAGATATATAAAAAAAGTAAAGGAAAGAATTTACTCATGGCCTTCTCTTTTCAAAGAAATGAAATACATAATACTCAGACAAACATGTGGTTTGGAAAGTAGCTTTCTTACATAAAAGAATTGGCTGTTTGCCTGTTTCCTGAGCTGTTGATGAGCAAGTCATTGTCATAGAATGCCACATAATGAAGCACATTATTTCCTAAAAATGATTAAGTGAAAATCCAATTGATATAAATTACTTGAGAATATTCTGAAGGATTCAGAACCAAAGGGCTCTCTATTTTCTTAGCTTACTAAGTAACAGCTGCAGGTTAACTTAAATGTGAGCAAACCCAATGTAAGATATCATTTATGTGATTTTAAATATAAGAATCAAATTTCTAAAACATGCTCAACGTGCTAGAAATCTTTTTAATTCTCTCTTAACCAAGTCAATTCATACTCTAAATTTCTTTTTTCAGGAATGATGCAATTTTGAATTTTTAGTTCTGTAGTGAAATTTTACTGTTAGGTTGTACTTCCAGCACGATATTGCTGTGAGACCATCAGCAACAGAAACAACACTCTCATAACTTCCTAAGAAGCAAATGGGAATAAGAACTTTAACCTAAGGAGAAGAAATCTGCAGTAGATGAATCTGTATTCCTAGATGTCACCAAAAGGCATGGGGTGCCATGAAAAACCAGGGTCAACAATTTTGTTCTGTAAAGGGCCAGATAAACATTTTAGGCTTTGCTGGGCCATATGGTCTCTGTTGAAACTACTCAACTCTGCCCTAAAAGCAATCACAGACAATATAGAAATAAAACTTTATTTATAAAACTTTATTTATAAAAACAGGCTTCTGGTAGATTTGGTATGTAAACCACAGTTTGCCTGACTTCTGAAAACTCTTCTTTGGAGTTTTAAGTTTATTTCCTTGGGTAATTATGTGGAAATTACTTTTTAAAAAAATGCACATTGAAATTTTATATGTATACCACAAAAACCATAAGTAAAAGAATGATTGGCATTCAAATAAGAAAGAGTATAAACATTAGTCCCTAACTTGTTTACTAATAGTCTCTTTTGCCTGATACCCTTAGTTCATTGGGCATAAGGAATTACTTAAACTCCTGTCTGCTGTTCCCACTCAGTGACCTCACAGGCAATGTTAAAATTTCAAGGGAAACATAGCAACATCTGTTGGATGTGCAATGCAGCATTACTATTATGCTGTTTGGACCTAACTACTTAATAAATGGACATGTTAAATCATTCTTTTGGCTTCGGGCAGCAGGGGTGGGGGGCGGGGGGTGGGGACCATGAAAATATTACTAAGCGTGCACGAATAGAAACATCTTGGGAACTTCTGAGATAAGTAATAACCTTGACAATAAAAATGTAGACAAAATAATTCTTGAATATGCTGTTTGTAGTCTATGCTACTATATGTTACCTGCATGATAGGCTAAAAATAGGTCAAGTTAAAAGGCAGTTATGAGATGACAGTTTTCAATTTATAGTCATGCTTACTCATATGCTTTACAAACCAGATTAACTACTTTACATGTATCAAGAAAAAACAGAGAAAGGACAAACCTAGTAAATTTTTATCATCCACAACTGAGAGTCAGAATGAGAGGGCTCAGGGAAGACAACAGCTTTCAAACCTCTAATGTGAACCCTATTGTGTTCGAGTTGACTGAAATCATCTTTTAAATGGAAAATAAAGATTATTATTTAAGCTGACTGAAGATTAAATATCTGTCATTTTTAACACAATGAATCTTAGCAAAGATTACATGGATATAAATATCTCATAGCCATGGGTTTTCCAGGTCAATCTTCAAAATGTGCTGAAAACAACTATTAAGAACAGTGTGATTTTGCAGTTTTAGCATTGCTGTTTAGTTTCAAACTAAATTCTGGTCCACCAAGGGGCCCACGTTTCTCCAACCAGTCTGCGATGCTCCTTCCAGGGTTTTAGAAGATCTCACAGTCCTAGAGGGTGGCCTGATGGCCAGAGGCATGGAACAAAACATTGATCTGGGACGAGTGGTAGTAAACCAAGACATTGGGAAGAGCAAATGGTTGGTGGAATCCTATTTTTCCATTACTGACTAACAGCAATATACCAATATTCAAACAGTATCACTTTCAATCAGAGCATGGGAAGAGGTTTTCTCCCATTTGGCTCATTTGACCTCAACCAAGTCAGATGCCTGGAGTCTGCCCTAGAGCAATGTCTGATTCCTGCGAAGGAGTCTGTTTGCTCACATCGCAATGCTTCCATCTTGCCCTGGGTGGCCCTCTGGGCCAGGTGACAGGGACAAGGCTGAGTCTTGAAGGAAGTTAAAATCATGCAGTCAAGCCCTCTAGAGTACATCACAGAGAGTTTATGATAATTGGAATTTTAAACAAGCAAACATAGATTAGTCAAGTTGGTTATTGCTCTCCAGGATAAGTATATAAATGCTTGGACTTTGTGAGCTGAGATTATATTATGTGATCTCAGGTGATACTCAGGTGATGCTGAACTTGGTTACCATAGGTGGGTAGCTGATATCTCTCCAGTGGTCTTCTGGGGTTTTTATTTCCTATTTGTTAAGGAGCTAGAAAGTCACCCTGAGTTGTGCCAGGGGAAGAAAAGGACTTTGAAAAAAAATTATAGAAAATTATTGAATACATTTTTGCTTATCATGTGATTATGAATATTATAATACCAATATTGAGATTACATGTGCATAAATGTTTAAAAAAAGCACTGAAGACACACATAAAGTTTAACCATTAAGCAGTATTTAACCAGTAAATGCTCAAATGCTATCAACGACCCTGCTCAGGAACATATCAGTGATGAACATTAAGGAAATTGGAATATGACCTAATAGGCAGTAATTACAGGGATATTACAAATCCTATTATGTAGGTAAATGTCTGGAAACTTTTCACATCTAAAGTAGACCTAGATAACCAGACTGAATACTCTGCAATGACAAGTAAATTACATAATGGCATTGTAATTATGTAATTGACTCTGTTCAGTATATTTATGTCAATTATATGTGCAGTCAACCTTCATCAAGAAAAACCCAGTGCTGATTCACTTTGTTAACTTTTTTTTTTCATTTGCTTTGCAAGTACAATCCTAAAGCAGAATAAACGGTTTACTAATTTTATCCTTTGCCTTTTCTGGCATTTACTTTTTTTTTTCCAATTAGAAATGCAACCAGATGCTTCTGTGAAATAAGAACTGAAATATGAAACAAAATGGCTCTCTCTAAATCCTCAGTCTGTAGACAACCCACCAGCAGTTACTTTGTATGTGAAACTGGAAACAGGAATTGCTAAACATTCTAAATTACAAAATATGTTTAAAATACTATGTAATTGAGGTCACAGTAAAAGGCAAACTGTTCCTTTCTTTTTAAGTCTGCCACTAAAAATGGCTATAGAACCTCGAGGATATTCTAAAATAGCAATATGTAAGAAAATTCCAAAAGTCTTTTGAATCCATGTGTAATGGCAGTGTTGATTAAACTATTCTAAGGAGATCTAAAAAAAGCCAGCCAATGGTCTTATTCCCATTTTGGGATAACTGGGATAATATCATCATCCTCATCATACAGTCTTCAACAGGCAAATTTGGTATGTTTCAGTAGATTTCTAGAAAGAAATATTGCCTGCAACACAAAGATGGTGTCCAGCTTAGTCCAAGCCTACAAAATCCTATTAAGATTCTGTGTACAGTCCTTCTTGAATGGGGACACGCGCTTCGCCCACAGTAGATATTGGTATGCAAGAACATTATTAGCTTCATGGCAGTACTCAGACACTCTAACCTGAAGTCAAGATTCCAGGGCCCAAAGAGGGATGAGAAGGAATGTGCCCAACAAACAATTTAGCAGCGCCCAGGAAAGTATTGTTCTCTAAAAGTCAAGTTGGGAGCACTCCTCCTCTGAAGCACATGAATAAGTACAAGGGGCCAATGGAGTTTTTACTTATTTCAGTCTATGACATTTCTGAAGCATTTTCTTTTTGGCTTCCTACTCATCAGTGTGGAAAACTGAGGCAGCTGAAATCTAAGCATAGAAATTCATGTGTCATTTTGCTAAAAAGTACTCTAGACCAGTTCTGCTGCAATATGATAGTCACATGTGGCTCCTGAGCACTTGATGTAGTAAAGGTGGAACATACACTCCTGATTTTGAAAACTTAGTATAAAAATTAATTCAAAGTATCTCATTAATTTTTCATATGACTATATATTGGAATACTAGCTTGGATATATTCGATTAAAATAAAGTTTATTTCACCTGTTTTGTGGGTTTTTGGACTTTTTAATATGTAGCTAAGAGAAAATTTAAAATTATGTATGTGAATTGCATCATATTTACATTAGACAGCACTTGTTCTAGACAATTTCTAGAGCCATATTGTTCTAATTTCTACCTTAATTATGTATCTGTGGGACAAATGAGCTCTTACAGTTTGAGAAAAATCACTGAGATTCCAATTAGGCTTTGTAAATGAAGGAAATAATTCAAGATTGTCCTTATTTGTGGTAAAAGTCTAGTTTACCCTATAGATCTGAACTTATCTGAAAACAAAAATCAACAATGTAATATAATAATTGTCAGCTCTAAAATGCAAGACATAACTTATTGTTCTCTGCTGAAATTCCCTTAATTCTTTTGCTTTGTGACTATATTGTCAATTAGGGGTAACATTATGAAGTAGTTTGTCAAATTAAGGCTCTATCTGCAATAGTCTACTGTTATTTAGCTAAGTAGTCTTTGAGATAGATAATATATCCAATTTTGACAAACAATATAAATGTTTCCTGTCTTTTCCAAAATGTTAACCTAATTGTCCTAACTTAGGTTGTCTTTCTATGAAATCAAAGATTGAATCATTTGACCGAAAAGATCAATTTTTGTGAAAGTTCGACTTGTTTTCCACTGAAATGACTAACTTAGTCACTATTTTAGGCATTGTCAGGACTTAATCTTTAACATACAAGTCAAAATTTAAAACTCCCATTGATTTTTAGAGGGTGCAATTTACAAGTTAAAAAAATAGAATTCCCTCACACCCCTGAGTCCTCACTGAGGAATAGAATGTGTACTCATGTAAACGGGGACGTTCTAAAGCACACATTGGCCCTGGGGTTTTGCAGTGCTGTTCCTATGGTCCACACGGCCAACCAATGCAGTCAGCCCTGAGTGTTGCAAAGATGGAACAACTGCCCTTGGATCAATAGGCGGCGGGGCTGGGAGGGATGATATGTTCTGATCTTCCAACCAATTGCTACTTTCTAATAAGACTCCTTTACCTCTCTTCTTCCCTTTTCCCTTTATATATGGGACAACATATGGGACACTTTTCCAACAATATATGGGACACATTGTGTATACCTGTAGTGTCTCATTGGGAAAAGTACACTAGGCAGTTGATCTTTTTAAATGGAAATCTTAATGCTTAGTGAAGAAGGGATTCTTAAAGGTTAAAAACAGTCAACCCTTTATAATAGCTAAAATGGGAATTCTGAGGGAGAATAATGGAGGAAGGAGGAAACAGGGAAGAAGAGAGTAAATACTCTCTAGTGGTTAATAAAAATAAAATAAAGCAAAAAATAATCTTACTCTGAGCCCAGATGTTGTACATTTAAGGGCCTTTTCCTCCATGTCAGTCACCTGTCAGGCCCCAACTATGGAAGATAAGAAGTCCTACCTCGTTTTCTTCTCATGAGAATAGTAGTAAAGAAAGATTTGTGCTTGGAAAGCAGAATGTCTACTGAGGTCCAATAGCCCCCAGAAACCAGAGGTTTAATTTCATTTTCCAATGTAATAGTTTTCAGGAAGAGCCAAAACAATTTAAGATCTCTTTTTTCGATGAGGATTCTTTAGGTGATACTCATTTTTATTGTCTATCATTTTGGTCTTTGAAAGTAATAATTTTTTAAAATTAAGGAAACGTACTAAAATTTTGACACATAATTGATTTGATGAAAATGTTCATTTCAACTCAACTAGAAATAAATCTCAGATACCTGGAATTAGTGTGAGTTCTGCAAGGGAAAAGTGTTCATATGAAAATCCAAGAAAATATTCTGAAAAAAATCATAGTAAAGTATTAGGTCTAACATTACAAGAGTCTCATTTGTCTCAAGAGTCTGATTTGCAATCAGTGGTTTTCTCTTCCTTTTTGTTTTTGTTTTTTAAAGTAAATAGTTACATTGTCTTAAATTTCTTGAAAGGAAGTTTTCAAAACTACATTGTAAAATGTGAGCACTTCCATTCCAAGTATGAGAGAAAAATATACTAGCTGTTCAGAAATATCTTCAGTTCATAAGCAGTGTATCTAGATAACAATCAATTGAAGGAAAAAAGGACTTTTATAAACCAAAAGGTTTCCTAACTCTGGTAAAATCAATAATGAATGATTTTATAACAGAATATTTTTCCCACTCTATTCAGACATTTTGGCATCTGCCTGTGGGGTAGATTTTTCTAAATATTTGAAACTTGGTAATTATAGAGTTTATCCATAAAAATATTCCTATTATTAAAGTTGTACAAACTCATGAAAAAATCTAATTTTATCTGAAAAATGACAAGGAGTCAATCTTTTTTAGTCTAAGTCCCAGACTTATCTCGTTTCCTTCCCTAAATTTCTTCATTACCCCCTAAGTGTTGGCCATCAGAAGGATATCTTATTAGAGAGCAGGTGAAGGAAAGAATAAATGTCTCAGTGTGAGTTTGTAAAATACTTTCTCCAGGATTGCAAAATGGCAGAATTTTGTGATAGAATATTTTTTGTTATTAGTAATATAATGCATATAAATAAGGACAAAGTAAAACAGCATTTTCCACACAACCTTTAGGGGCATATGGTTTCATGGTCCTTAAATGTGTGCTTCAATTTCTTACCATTATAAGTGGAATTTTTTTGCACATACCATACAACTGTAACCTATAACCATCTCCTTGTAAACTGTTTGAATGCATGAATGGAAAGGAAAATGTTGTGAATGTCATGGGAACATGTCTTGTACCACTACCTAGTATTAGCTGAGCAATATTTTAAAGTGCCTTGTGAAGGAATTACTGCCTTGTGAAGAAATCCGAAGGATGGAGGGTGACTAGGTTTTCAAAGCAAAAACAATTTGTTACTCTTTACTTCAAATATGTGCTACTGGTCCCTGAAGATGTATGTTTTTAAATGTTATGTCGTGTTTACTTGCAATTTCAAATTTAACTCATCGGTATTAGGTATCCATTACATACCATAAAAGACACTATTTTTTCATAAAGCAGTCACATGCATTGAAGTTAGGATTACCAACTGATACATATGTATTTTTTTTTTGCACCTCAAAAACAGAATCACTATAGCGCATATCATGCTTCCATACCTTCCTTGCTGAAGGACAAAATGCATAAAATGCCAGGATTTGGCTTCCAGATTGGAAGGAAGCCAATTTAGTACTCTGGCAGGATCACATCATTCTGCTGAGCTCCAAATCCCAGAGCAGGGTTTTCTTGCCCTTCTCTGGGGGCTGCTGCTTCCTCCACAGTCTTCAGCTTCTCCCTCACTAAGCCCTCCTCTATTTCTGGGTCAGCCACCCTTATCCCATGCTCTAGTGCCTTGGACACCATTTTGGCGGCCTGGGCAGCATTTATATCAGCATCTTTAACCTTCTCTACAGCCTGTGCCTTCATCAGCTCAGCCTCTGCCCCCTCAACTGCCATTTGGGCCCCATCTCCTTGAACTTTCACTCCTTCTGGAATAGCTTTAACATCTTCATTGCTGTCCTGGATTGGAGATGGCTCTCGGCTGGACTTCTGGCTCTCCTGGACGCTGCCATGGCTGCTGCTGGCGCTTCCCAAGCGGGAAGAGGCCACCACGGCCTTCACTGCTGCCTAAATGGAAACAGAAAAGGGTCAGGTGTTGCCTCCACTTAAAATCCCAAACCAGAGCTCAAACTCAGCATTGCACTTAGGGAGTTTGTTTTATATGTTACTGTTCAGGTTTCCAAAGTATATTAGCCCAAGATTGTTGAATGAAAACTTGCTTGGAGAATGAACAGCAAAATCTCTTTAATCTGAGACTAGTGTATTTAATCATCTGGACAACCAAAAGCCTGAGTAAAGGCATCTGCCCATCAATTATGAGTTTTAAAAAATTTTAGATTGTGTTTCCAAAAGTATTTGTTTCATAGAACACTAGTCCCATGGATGTTAATAGGTATAAAGATTTCCATGGTCAAATTTATTTGGGAAATCCTGGGTTAGGTCAACCTTAATCTAGGGTATTTCAAGTTAATTTGACCAAGCGACCATTCAGATTTATTCAGTCTGTATCAGCCTGTAGGCAATGGCTGAATAGAACACTATTTTTGACTCTCAGTCATTCTCTGAGATTCCGTGCACATATAATTAGTCCTAAACACAACTGTGTAAGAGAAAAGCACCTAAATCTCTATTCCATATATAGTCTATTAAAAGAGATATACTTTTGGTGGATAATTTTCTGTATCATTTGAATTATTTTAATTTTTACCAAGTATGGTAATTATTTATCTATATACAAATTATAGTTTTTAAAAATTGTTTCCCAATTTTCACATATTCAGAAAGAAGACAACTTTCTGAATACATACCAGTTTTCTGAACGATGCTGTTCAAGTAGTTCAGCCTTAATTAAATGAGAAGCAGCAATAATATATTTGTTTGGTGAGTAAATTTCAACATACAACACATTTCCTTTTATTAACAGTCAGTTCTTATGAGAGGATAACAAAACTGTAAGTGGTTTTATACCAGCATTGTTGGGATTTCAAAGCAGAATTTTCCCTGTTATCATAGGAGATGAATAACAGTATTAGACGAAGAATGGCAAAATTATCTCTGATAGCTCAAGATAAAAGAGAAATCTTTTTTTTTAATAAAACAAAACAAAACATATTCCATCTTACCTTAAGCTTGCGCCGGGCATTGAATTCTTGGAGCTTCTTTTGAGCAGTATCCATGTGTACAAAATTGGCTGCTTTACCTGTGACCCATGGGTGCTGGAGAGCTTGGAAGGTAGTCAGCCGTTTCTTAGGATCCAAAATAATTAATTTTCTGACCTTAAATAATAAAGAACCATAGACTCCTTAGGGAGATTTTTATGATGATCTGGACTTGCCCCTCAGCTTGTGAACTTCTAGTTCTTATTCTGTCTCCCTAGGAGTACCACTCAATATACACTTTTAAAAGTTTTTAAAGCCCTCAGAGGTCACAGTGGATAAGAATGGCTTCAAGCAGCAGTAGCTGAGGGAGTCTGAGAAGACAGTGATGTGTGTCACCTTTGAGCCCAAACTGGCAGGCAGCTTTCCAACAGAGGTCAAAGAAACAGATCCTGGCTTGCCTGTGGACTGGAAGTTCTTTGAAGGAGAACTGCATCTGAATAATTCTAGGCTGGACTTTGAATCTCTTAGAATTCAGAACTTTAAATATATCTCAGTGGAGATGGAATCATTCATGCATCCACCATTCTTTCTGGGGGGATTAATGGCAAACAAAAGGGGTAGTATCATAGCCCTTATGATTATCCCCTGATTCTGGTTCTCTCTAATCCCTTAAAGGTACTTGAAAGAATAAGCCAAATGCTGGGGTAAAAGCCTATTTAGAATCAAAGTAAAGGTGTCAGTGGCTTGGGGGCATGATTTGTTTAAAGGACGGAATTCAACCAATGGCAGCCCATTCTGGGAGGTTTACTCCTGCTTGTGAGGATGAGCAGATGATAAATTGCTAGGAAGATCAACAATGAAAATAATCCCCAGCCCTGGGCTCCAAAGGGATGGCCTGGAATGAGGTAGAGACCATTTGGAGTCAGGAGGCACGTTCAAGCCCTAGTTATATCTCTAACTACTTTTGTGCCTCTAGACAAAGACCCGCATATGAGTTGAGTGCCTCTGGACACTCTGCTGAGCTCTTTTCTTACATGACCTCATTTCTACCTTAATTCCTTTGTAAATACATTCTCATATGCATATAAAATTTTTTGAAAACTCATCCAATCCTTTCCATAACCTTATAAATTTGCAACTATTCATAAATGAGGGGTGGAAGGAAGCTCAGAAATATTTAGTGACTCGTCAAAGGTCAGACAACTTGCACTTGGTGGAGGCTGTGTTCAAACTTAGATGTGTCTTACCTCAGAGCTCATCTTGTGGCCACTACTCCACAGTGCCTCCAAGGCAGTCAACCTCTCTGGCCTTCAGTCTGCTCATGTGTAAAATGAGGGGCTCTGATGATTTAAGGCTTAAGGTCCTTTCTAACTCTAATAACCTAAGAACTAGATGCAGGCTAACACAATCAGGCAGAAAGTCAAATGAAGAATAAGTATCTGGTTCTCCTTTCACTTCCTTTCAGTAACATTTGCAACAGAATTTGTGTTTGGGGTAGAGACAGTGATTTGTAGAGGGCAGAGACATGAGACTGCCCAGGCTTAAAATCTGAAAGGAGGTAGAGGGAGGAAAAGATGATTAAGAAAATGATTGTATAGTAGTAAATAAAAAATCTCATAGTGGGCCAGCCTGGCGGTGTGATGGTTAAGTTTGTGCGTTTTGCTTTGGTGGCATGGGATTCGCAGGTTTGGATCCTGGGCGTGGACCTAGCACTGCTCGTCAAGCCACACTTTGGAGGCATCCCACATAAAACAGAGGAAGCCTGGTAGAGATGTTAGCTCAGGGCCAATCTTCCTCACACACACAAACACACACAACAATCTGACAGTAATCACAGCTATAATCTGTTGAACGCATGTACTAACAATTTTATGTAAATGATATATAATCCTTACAACATCCTTGACAATTAGATATTTCCTTCCCACTTTCCAATCATCCTTTTCCTCTTCCTCATCATCACTATCCTCCTTCTCATGAAAATACAAAGGATTTATTGAAAGCCAATGTGTACCAAAAATTTACTTATGTCAACATCAATCTTTACATTTGGAAATATCGATGCACTGAATTGTTAAGAAACTTGCTGAAGGTAAGAGAGATCCAGTGACCTTGTCAGGATTCAAACCCAAAGCTTTGCCATTATCCTATGGCTCCTCTTGCAACTCGACCCCCCGACTCATCAGCACTGTAGCCTCTGCTGATGACAGAAGAGATGCAAGTTCTGCTAATAATTACACATTTATGGGGCTCAAGGATTCCTTTAATTTTGAAGTTTTATAACTTTATTAACCAACAGGAGACTTAGCTGAATGATCATCACAACTAATCTTCTTACCCATTTAATTTTTATTAGGGATGAAAAGAAATGGAAAGAGGTTCTAAATAAGGGAGCTATTACTGAGTTACTTGCTGGTAGTTACTTAATATGTATTATATCCCTTAATTCTCCCAACAACCAATAGACAGGTACCAGTATCATCCCAGATAAGAAAACTAAAATGTAGAGAGGCTGGGTAACAAGCCCAAGGTTACGCCTCCAGATTATGAGAAAGGAGGCACTTGAATTCAGGTGTGTTAGATTTTAAAAATGCATGGTCTATTTCCTGATTCATTGTTTCATTCAAGAAACATTTACTGAGACTGTAGTATATGCCCATATGGTACTAAATCTGGGTACACATGCTTCGTCCTCTCCCAGAGCTTACAATCTAATTAAGGGGGATAAAGAACAATGTGGCAGAAGGAACAAACCAGTTGTGGTGAGAAGGGACTGCCAAAGGGGGAGCAGACCAAGCCACCCAGAGGATGTCAAATGGCAGCTTGGGCTTGAAGACAAGAGTTAGCCATGCAAAGAAGTATGTGTGTGTGTAATGATGGGGAGCAAGAGGGAGGAAGGAAGGAGGAAAGAATATAAGAAAGCAGAAGGAAGAGCAGTGGCCAATATGCAGAGCTACTCTGATGAGGGACTGAAAGTGTGGTGCACTGAAGTGAAGAGAGATCAAAGGAGAGTGGTGTGAAATGAGTGGCACAAAGGGTGACAGGCTCCAGACCAGGCAGTGGTGTATGGAGCTTGTTATAGATTTTGGATTTTATCCTAAGAGCCTTAAAGCAGGAGAGTGACATGATGTGATTTATTTATATGACCATTTCTCTGGATCCTGTGTAAAGAGGGTACTTGAGAAGGGCACAAGAAGAGGCAGAGAGACCAAACAGGAGGTTGTGGCAGTGGCCCAGTAGGGGAGGGAGGGGGTTTGGATTGGGACACTTGTGATGGAGGTGGAGAGAAGTGTATAGATTCAAGAGATGTTTAGGAGTGTGGGGACTGCCTTGAGGGAGGAGTTGGGATGACATGTCCACACATCACACTACCTCTCTTCCTGGTCACACTGGAGAAGTCACGGCCTATAGGGGATCTGTTTCATGAAAGAACAGAGATGGCAAAGAAGAAATTTTCGGAGGGAAAAGAGGATTGTGGATAACGGATCTGGAAACCTGAATCATCAGTTCCTAACAATGTCTTTTTGCTGGGAAGCTGTATGACCTTCGACAGTCATTTCACTTCTCTGGGCTTTAGCACACTCATCTTTAAAGTGAGGGGAAGAGCAGATAAATCCTAAGATTCTTGGTGATCTAACCTTGTGTGATTCAAAAGTCAGCTTTTAGTTATTTCTGTGTGGTTTTTCTCTAGATAATTGATGATAAATGTTTCAATTGCATGCTACCATCCTCTTTATTTTAGAACAGGTGGGCCATCTTCTCAGGGAGTATGTGTTTCCTGAATGCAAACAAACTTCAATATTAGCTTAAGTGAGAAGCCATCTAAAACAGAAAAAACAAACAAAATGCACTATCGGTACAGTGTAACTTGATAATGCCGATGATGCATGATGGGACTTTTGTTACTATCAGGATATTTGAATAAGTTTGAATGACATTTCAGGAAACACTGTTGTTTTATTCTAAGTATAACCAAATCTAGGTAATAGCTAGCCAGGTTAACACAGGATTATTCTGTGTAAATTACATTTGCATTCACCCAGCAGAGCCGTCTTCATAAGCAACGCTCTCCATTTACAAGGTGGTAAAAACTCATTAATACTGCAGTAACTTGTGATAATTCAGCTAGTGATGAGTCAAACATATCTATTTTTAATGATCCATAAGGAAGATGCATTAGTGTGCATTGTTTTATTAAAAATATTTTACAATTATAAACAAATAAGATATTAAGAGGGGCAAATTTAAAAAGTGACACTGCCCATTAATTAGTTAAAAATGAATGTGAGGGATTTTATTGCATCTTGTTTCATTTTGTTTTGGTCACACTTACCAAGTCCTTGGCATTTAGAGATACTTCATCCCACCAGGGGGAGATAAAGTAATATTCACAATTCAGAATTCTCCTGAACATGAATTGATCGCCTCTTTCATCATAGAATGGTTCAAATCCACAAAGTCTAGATGGACAAAAGATAGGGAATAAAATGTCTTCAAAAGCCTAGGTATATTTCATCAAATTTTCACACAAATTCAAGACTGTCCTTTTCCACGGCTCTGTTATGAAAGCAAATCTACTCAGTGCAAGCACGTAATTGCCTTGTTACAATTCATTTTTCTTCATGTAAACACACAATCATGTCTTCAGAAAGTAAGAAGAGACATAGAAGCAATTTAGGATTTCTACAAAAAGTTACAATAATATTAATAATTATGACACAAAACAACAACGATAATAGCTAACATTATTATAGGTGCTATGCTATTGACTGTCTATGGATTTTTTCCACCAGGAATTTGAGAAGACAGAGATTAATTAGAGTTCCAATTTATCACAAAGTGGAAGAGTTAGGATTTTGAGAATAAAGAGATTAAAAGGTAGAAAGAAAAGATTTTTCAGTCATTTTTTTCAGCCCTTTTCACTGAGTTCCTCCATAGAAATAAGTAAAGTATTATATTCCCATCCCATTCCAGTTTGAATTTCAGAGTGAACAAAGACAGAAGCTAAGACTAACGTCAGGGAGTGGTCTTTTAAGACTTAATACAGTGAACAGATGCAGCCAACAGATGAGCAGCCCAGAGTTACCTTGACCTTGTATGTGACCCTCACTTTTGTACATCTTAAAGACATTTCACCATGTTCACCTTCATTTTCCACTACAGGGTGAGCATAAAAATGAATGAGAAAAGTGGGAAAAAGAAACAGAACCATCTCTGGCGTCCTAAAGAGACAGAGGAAAAGTGAGTTGCAGATCTGGGACCACCAAGCCGCCACTGCTGTAGTGGGTGGAGATTCTGAAATCACTAGGGACCAAAAGGAACTTATAAAAAAAAAAAAAAACCCCTGCCTGGGCATGTGTTGCATATGACAAAGAATGGAGGAAAAAGAATGAGTAAGTTAAAAACCGTTATCACAAATTCTTCCTTCAAGCTGGCCTGGTTGGTGCAGAGCATGAAACAGTCAAGTGCATCCTAATGTAGTGGATTTCTAGGAAGAAGCAGTTTCTCATGTCGTTTTGCTCAGGGAATGTCCCCTTGGGAGAGTGTTTGTCTCCTTCAGATATTCTGGAGCCAGTCAGGAAGAGGCCAGGCTCAGGCGTGCTGAGACCGGCACAACGCATCCTCCTCTGTACAGCAGAGGTCCACGCAAAGAATCCTGCTCCAGCATAAGGAGAGAAGGGAGCACGTGTCCACACCTTGACATGGAGGCTGCTCAGCCTTACCTGGCCCTCCTGTGCCCTCCACAACACTAGAAAAATATAGCCTGTTGTTGGTTAGTCATGGAGAAATTAGCCAACTTTCCAGGCTTAGTTTAGGGAGCTCTTATATTTCCCCCTCTGGAAATCCAGAGAGAAAAATGACAGTTCAGAAGGTACATACTCAAATGCTTTTCTTTCATCTCAACCATGTCAGCAAATCTGCACAGTGGTGACAGAGGTAAAAAGTTTATGTCATGTCAGCCTGAAATGCCAAAAATGGAAGAAATGTGACACAGAGCAACACACAGACACACAGTGCAAAAACCTTTCACAGACGGAAATATTCGAATGCTGACAATGACAGATTAGGAGGATATTAGGGTTGTACAGGCCTGAAGTGTGAATATGTAATACAGGGTAGCTCCAAGCCATTGGGCAGAATTGTAAGGTTGAAAGCTGAAGGAGAGTGTGAATTCTCTGACGTTCTCTGATTCTGATTCTGACCTGAATACTGTAGCAGTAGCTTTTGTCTGTGGAGACAAAGGGTCTAGGTATAAAAGGTAGAGGGACCAGAATTCCTGTGAGAAGCAATAAAATGGCCTTCATTTCTAGTCCCCTGAAGTCCTCGGAAATAGCAAGATCATAGCACAAAATAACCTGGTGAAACTTTTAATAATAATAAAGGAGATACATAGGTCCAACGGCACAATCCACTGGAGAAAATGTTCCAAACAACCTTGCCTGGTGGATTTCATCAATTATTAGTCAACCACATATTAAATAAAAAGTCCTCAGGCTTCGGGGCTGACATAAGTTAGACCAGAACTAAAGGATATCAGTTGTAAGCAGCACTGTTATCCTCATTTTGGGGGCTCCTACTGCCTACTTTCAACCAACACCTATTAATTAACGACCTTAAGTGAACTAGGGGAAAGGACCTTGCCAGAATTTTAAAGTTATTTTTAGCGCTATAATAACATGTATCCCAAATTATCATATTTTTTTCTCTTCATTTTCCCTTGTCAGTTACCATATGATGGAGTTTTACTCATTCCATAGTTCAATTTTTCAGAATGAATGTAACTTAATTTCCTACCTCCATCTCTCCAAGTTCTTGTATATCCTTAATGCTTCACTCCCTACCATCACATATCAACATGAAACTGTAATTGGGCAGGCATATTTACATTTTAGGGGCAAATCTGAATTATTTACACAAATTAATTACTACACAGTTCAGTTTTTCACTTACCATCACTGAGTATGATATGTCACCTACATAATTCAAGAGACAGCATTCTTTCCTCAGTATAAGAGTAAATGCAAATACAAGCTGAAGAAATTCTATGATGTGGCCTTAGGAATTCATTTTAATGAATTAAACACTTAGAGTGGCAAACAGAAATTACCTAACAGTTTGCAGTTTCAAAAAAAAAACATGGTTCTCTACCTCTCCAAATTCTTCTCAAGCCTTAATACAATCTAGAAACACAGAGAATTGAATACTGAAAATATCTTTTGACAGTACACATAGCAGATGGCTAGTTTATGGGTTTTTTGTTAAACCTTTTTATCTTGGCTACTGACCAATGTATACACCCAGGTGAATTTAGCGTTGACTACTGTGCTTGGGATCCTATCCTAGTTACCCCCTTCCTAGCCTGTATTTCCTAGACACTGCACTTTCTAAGATCTTTATTAAATTAAAAAAAAAAAAACCTCTTTCTGCTATGCAGTGAATGGTGTTCTCCCAAATTCATATGTTGATGTCCTAACCCCCAATGTGATGGCATTTGGAGATTAGGCCTTCAGGAGGTAACTAGGGTTAGAAGAGGTCATGAGGGTGGGACCGCATGATGAGATTAGTGCCCTTATAAGAAGAGACATGGCAGAGTTTGCTTCCTCTCTCTGGCAGGTGAGGACACATTGAGTAGGTGGCTCTCTGCAAGCCAGGAAGCAAGCTCTCGCCAGAAACGGACCTACTAGCACCTGATCTCAGACTTCCAGCCTCCAGAACTGTGAGAAATAAATTTCTGTTGTTTAAGCTGCCCAGTCTGTGGTGTTTTGTTATGGCAGCCTGAGCTGACTCAGACACTTTCATACCCTCCAAAATCTCTTTATGGATTTGAATAGTATAGGTTCCAACAATTAATTCTGCAGTATTCTCTAAATGACAACCAAATCTACTGGTTTGGAATTAAAATCTGGAACTCATCAAGATCTTGCTTTCATAGCTCTTCTACAGCATCTTCCCCCCCAGACACTCTTCCATCCTTCATGCTGATTTCCCTCGTACTTGTCTGCAATTCTATCATCGCTTTGGCAAATTTCCTGAAACCCCTTGTTTATTAGCAGACAGCAGCTCAGGAAGGGAGTTGGGGATACTAGAGAGAGAGAGAGATTTAGCCCATGTTTTTTCCTTCTGGAGAAACAGCTTCTCTGAGTTTAGGGCATTAAACTTAAGGTCCTTGAGAACCTAACAGAGGTAGGAAACAAAACTGATAACCAAAAAGCATTTCAAACGTTGCTGATAAGAAATGTACCAGTTTGGGACTGCTTAAGAGATCAAACAACCATTTTCCCTTTAAAAAGGACTAATACTCTAATTATTTTGATGAGATGCAAATAAATAAAATAAGAGCAAGTTTAATAGGTGGATTGAGTTTCACATTCACTACTATCATCAAATGATGACCTGTTCCCCAAATCTGCTATATGTTGCAGAGCAGAATGAGACACAGAAAAGCCCTGGACAGAAGTTCTGGCCCCAAGAAAATTACAAAAGATAAAGCAATGCTCATTTTCAGAAAATTCTATCTCTAACTACATTTAGCGTGTCATAGAAAATCACAAAAGTCAAAAAGTAATCTTGCTTTCTATGAGGACTATGAGTGCCCACAAAATATTACAGCAAAGGCAACAGTAGGCATCAAGATTGCTTCTCTTAACTTACAGGATATAGGTGATTATTCCTACAGACCACATGTCCACCTCAGGCCCATAGGCACAGCCTCGAAGAATCTCAGGAGCTGCAGAAATAGTAAAAATTGCGTTAAACTGGAGTTTAAATTCAACACTCGCATTTTAGTAACAAGCAACGGGAAAGGAACGAATTCATCAACAGCAACTTCAGAGCAGTTTTATAACCAATCTTCTCTCCCCAAACCAAAGTACAAGGCTACAAATTCTTATGTCTATTTCAATGGGAGAGATTTTAGTCTCTTTGCGTTTAGGGAGCATAAAAATAAAGCTATGAACTTTAATATTCTACATCGGAATGTCATGATACTGCTCAAATCAGAAAGACCAAGCTATATCACTGCTATAAGAGATCCCTGACTTCACAGGGAGCTCTGTACGTAGGAAAGAAATGACAGTTTAGCATAGTAAGGGGAAAAGGGCATGATTATGTTCTCTTGAGATCTAGATCAGCTTGGAGCCCGTGGTGGCCATGAGTGGGTGGGTTTGACAGTGTGCAGGGCAGGGACCCGGGCAAACACGGGGAAGGATTGAGAAGTCTCTAGTGCTGGGAAATTGGAACAGGAACTAGGAAGGACCCTGGTGCATGTCCCAGTATTCAGAACTACATGCAAGTCCCCAGAGAGCAGCTAGCTGTCCCAGTCAGTATGGGATTATGAACTAAGAAAGGGGACTTCTCTGTGCACAATGAGGCTGCTCCTATTAGCCATTCCCACCATGGTGAAAACAGGTTTTCTTAGCCATGAAACGGCCCTGTAGTATAGAATAGTGGGTTCTTCATGTTTTTATTACCTTACAGGTATGAAAATGGAGAGTTAACAGGGTCCAATCGTTTGCACTGAGGATTGGAAGTGTTGTTTGTTTGCCTAACTAACAGAAGTAGAAAAGGAAAATTGAGAGCTCTACCATCTATGCAGCAATAGGGCTCAGGCCTATAGCTCAGGGGAGCCTTCTTCTATTTTAAACAGAAGTGCTATAGGTGTCGGCAGGGTCCCCAAGTAAGAAGCTGACTGATGATGCTGAGGACTCCTTGAGGGAGGACTTAGGGATGGGGGCACCACACTCCTCCTTCTGGCTGGGGCAGGAGAACAAGTGACCTGGCTCCCCTGTCCATGCCGGGAATGTCATATCCAGTGTAGACTGTCAGAGTGGGCTCTGGAAGGAAGCTGTCCTCATGGGACTCTTGATTTAACTAACGGGAAGGAACACAGTGGATTTTCCACTGACGTCTTCCTATACTATCCTCCTCTCCCCATCCTTTTCCAATCAGGATATTCTCTTCCCTATAGACGTCGTGTTACATAAAATATAGGAGATGAAGAGGCTGTACGGTGAAATGAGAGTGTACATTACAGCTCTCTAAGCAGCAACTCAGGAAGATGAACCATTTAAGGAACTGTATCTGGAGCCAAGAAGTTTTTCTCATCCATAGGTGAATTATTTCTAGAAAATTTTCCTTTTAAGATTTAATTAACATAATTAAAAAAAAATGCATGCTCAATGCCAACGTTGTTCACTCTGTCTGGTTAGCTTACATTTCCCAGGGCAATCTGCACCCCACAGGCAGTTCCTTCGGGTCCCCAAAGCCCCAACACTGAACTCCCACTCACAAATGCTTTCGCTTATCACAGTGCAAAGGAAACACAGGTCAGGCTGCACATTCAGGAGGGCTGCTGCTTTCTGTCCTTGTCTCTGAGAGCTGTTCCAGTCAGACAGCTGAATTCGTGCATATTTAGCACCATTAGCACTTCACTCAGGTCTTCACATCAGTGAAGTACTATCAGTCCCACACTGACATTTAAACATAAATACAGAACTATGGTGGGGAGTCTTTTACATTTCCTGGGTCTTGGTTTTTACCTCTAAAATCTAAGTGAATTGGACTAATTTCCAAGTTTACTTTGCATTTTAACCTGCTAGCCATGGTGATATCAGTAAAGGGATAGTTACTGATAGTTCAAGCAAGAAGAGAGGACACCCTACCTACAGAACCTGCTGCATTCCCATTCCTCCTGCTACAGCGCCTACTGTGTATGCTGCCCTGTGGGCACCTAGCCTGTTGGTTCCAGTGAAATCAACCCTCCCATCCCAGGCTGTCCAGATATTAGCACTCTATTGCAAAAGCCAGGTGCTTTCTCTGGCCATTCTTCATAGCTCCCAGGCCACGGGCCCCAAAGGAAATGAATATCATGGAACAAAATCCTTTTTGAATCTACTTTCTAGGGCCTCTGGGTTTCTTACCTGACTTGGCAATATCTGATCTCCTGTCACTGCACTGGGTGCAACCTTACTGTCCAGGGGCAATTTATTTCCTTGTCAGGCATTGTGCTGCAATGTGAGTAAACTTGTGGTATGAAAAGCTAGACTTTTCACAATGAGGTTAACTGAGACAAAAGGGATATAGAATCTTTTTGCCCTCCATAATAAATTTCTCTTAAAAAGAATATTTTTAAAAAAGAATTTATAATATTTACTAATCATAATAAAAAATTGGGGTGAAACAAACTCTAATACCTAGACACAATTAGATACCATTCACAGTAGCCTTCAAATATTTTCAATTACTAGTTAATATGACCTTGACTTCAGAACCAGCAGAATATAGTCTCGTAATCTATCTGAACCCTTTAGAAGAGCCAAAAGCTATTCAAGAATGAATTTCAGGCTCTGGCACGCCAGCGCTTCAAGTCTCCTAGGTATTAATGTCCTTACAGGTGATTTTACAAATCTGTGATCTTCTTTGAGTGAGAAATCGTTGACTATTTCCCATTTAGTTCAAGAAAAGACATCAGCTAGTCCACCTTTTACTGCTATAAGCACTTCCAGCTGTCCTTCATATCTTTTCTCACCTCAAGCCCAAGCAAACAAACAAAATGGGAGAGAGAAAGTCATTTCAAAGTGCAATACACTTTGTATTTAAAACACAGATACATTTAAATGTAAAAATACATTTAAAAAGTATTTAAAATAATTTAGAATCACCTTTTCTTAAACAGTCAATAATGATTTATTGATTTTCCTGCCTGTCCTCTAAGTGGATTCAAGTTTTCTGCCACTGCCTAAAATTACTTTATCATTCATGTTGTTGCTAATAAACACTAAATGCTACACAGCGCCCAGGACACCTCATACTCCAATTTCCAATACAGAATAACTTTGGTAAATGGTCTTGGAATCACCAGGATACCAGACTTACCTTTTTAAAAAGCAATTTTCACTGAATATAAACATTATATAAAAATTCAAACTTTAATTATGATCTTTATTCACTAACATACCACTAAGACCTCAGAGTGATGACTTTTGGATAAGATCATGATACCATCAAAATATCTAGAGATTGAAGGTTGATCTAGAGATTGGATAAATTCTGTTTTATCAGATAAAATCACTGTAGCCAGTTCTGGAAATAGTCCTAAAATAAAATGCAACAGGTGTCACCTCTGACACACTGACAGGGACCATGGGTGCTAGGTTTTCCCAAAGCCCTAGGAAAGAAATGGATGATTTTGGTCATCAATTGTACCTTCACTTTGTCAATGCCCTAGGTGAGCTTTATGATCCCTTCCAACCTATTGAGTTAAAACTACAGAGGTTGGCATTCTTCATCAGAAGACTTTTTCAAACTACTGTTGACTGTTTTGAGAAAGATAAATCCAAGGGAGACTAAGGTGAATGAAATCAACAGGTTCATTCATTCCCTCATTAAATAAATCATGAACTATTTATTAAGCACCTGCTCTATGACAGGCACAGTGTTAGGTGGTGCTGGGGAAATAATGGGGAGTTAAAGAGAACAAGTCTTGGCCATCACAGAGCTTCCAGTTTGGTAGGGGAGGTAGATGTTGATCATGGAAACACATGATAAAATGTGAAGTGGTAACTGGAAGTGTGTGGAGGGAAAGTGTCTCTAATAGAGGGTTGACCTGGTCAGAAAGATAAGCAGAAAGCAAAGTTTAAACTGAGATGTGAAGGATCTAGAGAAGTTAGGTGGGCAAAGGGGGAGAGGGCGGTGGTTGAGGAAAGAGAGAGAAGAAGGTTCCAGGTGGAGAAAGCACATAAGAAGAGACTTGTGGCAGGAAGAAGCAAGGGACACTCAAGGAACTGGAGAAGTCATTGTTTCTGGAGCACTTCCTGGTGTGCATGAGGCCCAGGTGTGATGGGCGCCTGGGAGGCGGGTCAAGGTCAGAACGCAGATTCCAGCAGGTCAGGTTTTTGTTTGTTTGTTTTTAAATTCTCTCTTGTGCTTTCATTTTAGCAGTTCAAATCTGAGTTTGCAGAACTGTTTCCCCTCTTGTAGCCTTTTCACTGTAGAAGCTTGTCTTGAATTCAGAGTGTTTTGGGGGCCAAAAAATCCACAGCATCTAGAAGTCTCTCTAAACTTTGCCTCTGAGGAGTGAGCAGTGTGGAAGGAGGAGGGAGAGGGATTTACCTGCCAGCAGCAGAAGAGCAGTGTTGGGGACTTCTCTGCCCTTTCCTGTTCCTGACGTGGCCTAGGAACCCTGAGGAGAAGAATGCACTGAGGGCAGCCTCCTATAGGCGGCAGCAGTGCCCACAGCTGGGGACACTCCAGACTGGTACTTTTTGAGCATCTGTACCATGTGTGGTCCTTTGTGACAGTGTCACATACATTTGGCAAGAACCAGGCACAACCTTTTTTAACTTAGTCAAGTGCAATTTTTGCTTTGACAACAGGGAAGACAGGCAGGGTCCCAGTGTAGTATACTAAGTGTTATAACAAAGGTGTGGATCAGACTGGGATACAGTTGAGATGCTTCCAGAGGGGGCACCTCTGGCTGGGAACAGCCTTGTCAGTTTCCTGCAATGATTCTCAGAACACTGTCAATTCTATGCATGCCAGGCTGTGAAAGGCTGAGGAAGACTGAGCAGGCATTCGAGGCCTCTGAGACTTGGGTTATCTATGACTTGTTAGTAGAGCAAGAAAAAAATTTGCAGGATTTTTTGAAACACAAGTGATATGCTTTATGTTCTAATCATCCTTTCCCTTTTCCTGGGCTCTTCACCTTTTTCTTCTTCTATTTTCTACAAA